ACAAGTGCATTTCACCCTTAGCTGTGATCTGCCCCTCCATCATTATGTTAGGAAATATTCAGCATGCCAGGGTGAACAAAACAGGTTTTCTGTTATTCTGTGCATTCTGGGAAGGAGACAGGACATGTCACCAAATAGACATGACACAGGACAAAGCAGTGAGTGCCTGAGAGTGGTCCAGGTGCTGATAAAGTGCTGTGTGACAGCTACACCAGTGCTGACAACATTACAGAGAAGCTTGATTTATTTCCCAGACACACTTTGAATTCCAACATTGGACTTTAGACCTGTGTCAGGCTACTTCATTTCTTGGAAAATAGCTTAACTTGTTTTAGTTTCTTGGCTTCAGGCTTAAGCCCTAGTAACCCCTGTCAACAGCTTTGAGACAGCCAACTCTTGGCTACCACCTATGGAGATGTGACCCAAATGGAACCATGGGTTCTTTTTGGTCTGTGCTATCAGGAGACCCTTGTTGTTAAAGGCCAGGCATGTGGAGCTCAGCCTCTAAAAACAAGCCCATGGTTGTGGGGTCTTTGCTCATCTTCCCAAATACAGGCAACTCAGGAGACCAGGAAACTGGCCCTGTTCCCTCACCGGCAGGAAATTCCTGGTTGGCCTCTCCAGAAATCCTCATCGCAATTGCAGGAAAGTCCCAGCTTTCTGGTTTAACTAGGACCCCTGGGCTTTTCCCTGTGTGTGTACAGGGATATTTCCAGATAACCTGTCTTTAGGCTTAAACCTTATTAAAAGATTTGCCTTAGAACCCCAATAGAAACCATAGACCAACAACTGATAGCTACAGTCTTCTCTGTCTCAGGGAATCCCAATGCCTTGAACAGTGCTGCTATGTTGATGTGTGCTGGAGGGAAAACGTGATTTGGTAACTAGTGCTCACCCCTAGCCCTCTGCAGTGCGAAGGGGACTGAGCTCAGGAAGCAAAGAAAGAAATTACCATTTATAGTTCAGGTATGATTTAGGCTCTGATCATTTATGTCAGACAAGATCTTAAACATTGTGCAAGTAACAAAGTGACCTGTGCACATTTAGAGAATGTCAGTTTGGGCCAACAAATACTTCCTTCAAGTTTTGATTAATTTAGTTTGAGGTCATGGCAACATACTGAAGTCATGGAGCTGAAACTTGGTGGAGAGTTCAGAATGATCTCTTTTACCTGAATTCTGTGGTACTATTGTCTTTGTTTATCTCAGAGTTTATTTGAAAAAAGAAAAAGACATTCACACTAGCTCAAGGGAAACCTGAGGTTTATTTTAAGGATAAGAAGAAGCTTAAGAAAATTCAGAAGTCAAACAGGCCTCAGCAGAGGCAGGCTAGTTAGATAAAGGGACCTTTGTAGCATTTAATTCTCAATAAATGTTTTTGAATGGATGGGTAGATGAGTGAATGCGCAGATGTCCTTGGGGAGCTCTGAGGAATATTTAGGTCTGTCTGTACTATTCTGCCCGTATCTACTTTAACCTTTCTCCCCTTATCTATCCTTTCTATCTTAGCTCAAAATCCCAAGAGAGGAATCCAGAGGCTACCCCTGGGTCAGGTGTCCATCCTTTAATCAATGGCCAGAAAGGGGAGTGTCCTCCTCTTCTCAGGACTGGACAGATTAAACTAGAACATTAAACTGAGCAGTGAGGCTAATTACAAGCTACCATGTAGTAGTGTTACGTAAAGCATCTGTGTCCACGGTGAAACTGAGCCGTGGTGCAGACCCAGGCCTTACAAGCAGTGTCTTGGTTGGCATTGTGGCAAAGTGAATCAAGCTGACACCTGCAATGCCAGTATCCCGTATGAGCACCGGTTCAAGTCCCAGCTGCTCCACTTCTAATCCAGCTCCCTGCTAGTGGCCTGGGGAAAGCTGTGGAAAATGGTCCAAAGGTTTGGGTCCTGGCACCCATGTTGGGGGACCTGGATGGAGGTCCTGGCTCCTGGCTTTGGCTCTGACCCAGGGCTAGCCATTGCAGTCACCTGGGGAGTGAACCAGCAGATGGAAGATCTCTCTTTTCCTCTCTCTACTGCTCTCTGTAACTCCTGAGTTTCAATAAATAAATATATAAATAAATGATCTTTTTAAAAAAGAAAAGAAACAAGCAGCAGCTTAACCCTGGTACCAGTTGCTTGCCTCAAGGAACATTCTTTCCAACATCAATGCACCATCTTGCAATCACCTGATGAATCATTAATCAAAATATTTGGATGAATTTTCCAGGACAGAGCCAGGGCTCTTCCATAAGTCATTGTAATACTAGAGGAAAAGATGCCTAAGGAAAAGATACATAACCACTAAGTGAATATGTTGTTGTGAACTGGCTATCAATTTTGGCAAACCAGCTCTAAATATATTATGGGATCCTTTGAGAATCTTTGATATGGTTAAGTTTTAGATGAGATGAAAAAGAATGAGAAAAGAAAAAAAGTATCCAATTACAAAACAGTGTGATCTCATTTTAATTACCTATGATATATATGTGTGTGTATATATAAATATATATATTAATGTAAGGTGCCAAAGATTTTAAGATAGCTATTGTATACCACTAAGAAAGAAAAAAATGCCAATTAATTATAAGGTTATAAGAAACATTCTGGGAGAGGGAGCAGGAGAGGGGAGGGTTGCGGGTGGGAGGGAAGTTATGGGGGAGAAAAAGCCATTGTAATCCATAAGCTGTACTTTGGAAATTTATATTTATTAAATAAAAGTTAAAAAAAGAAGCATTCTGATTTCTGGGATGTTAAAATATCGGGGAGGGGTAATATGTGTGCTAAGGTGTGTAAGAAAAGATAGAAAGATGTGCATGCAGGTGGGATGGCCTTCCGGAGGTGGGAGTTTTTATTTGATTTGATGATTTGCTTTTGTACGCAAATTTCCGGCAAGGCCACTGTTTGCCTACTCCACTCTAGCCTCCCTCTCAAAGAATGGAAGCAGGTGACCCCAGCCCTGGACGAACCAGTTTTAGAGGGACGCTCTTGGCATGTCCTGCACTGGGGTTCAGTCCTTTGCTTTAGAATGTGAGGATGTAAAGCACCCATTGTGTTCTTCTTGACATTTGAAGCCTCTGCCAAAAAAACTTCCAGGACAAGAGGAACAAACGCTTTTGAAGTCCTTTCTGTTGTACCTGTGATTCAATAATAGGTGAGACATAAAGTCATTAACAAATGAATAAAAAGCACCTCAGTGACAGAGGTGCATGAAAAATATTTAGGACTTCATGGTAGTTTTATTAAATGTGCAGAAAGTAGAATTCTAATAAATAAGCTTGTTTTATGTCTTTAATTTTCACTGTTCTGGAATTGACTTATATTAGCTTTTTTTGTGAATATAAAGATAATCATAAATCCATTGTAATAAGATTAGCTCAATAATTTTTCCTTTGGAGAATAAATGTAGATATTTTGATGTTTATGTTAAAAGGATACCTGAGTTATTTTTACCAAGCATCATGAAGCAATTATAATTAAGTTATAAATCTTATAGTCTTAACTCTATTATTTAAGACATAGTAAATTTTAATTTTAATCCTCTTTCTTGATTTCTTTTATTAAATCTTTTTATTCTTTTGAAACTATACATTTTTCTCCCTTTGGTTATAACAGCCAGATTTGTTTAATTCCCTAATATACTACAGGATTATTTAACATTGAAAAGAAATTCTGTAACATGTACCTGTTTGCCACAAATGTAGGATGTAGTTATTGATCTAAAATCATGGTTTGTAACCATTTTAACAGATAACTGTCATTGTTTAAACTGCTCTTCATTAACAAACTTTTTTTTTAAAGATTTGTTTATTTATTTGAAAGAGTTATACAGAGCCAGTTATCCCAAGCCAGGAGCCAGGAGCTTCCTCCGGGTCTCCCACGCGGGTACGGGGCTTCTATTGCTTTCCCAGGCCTCAGCAGAGAGCTGGATTGGAAGTAGAGCAGCCGGGACTCGAACCTGCGTTCATAAGGGATACTGGCAGTGCAGGCAGCGGCTTTACCCGCTACACCACAGCAGCAGCCCCAACATGTATTACTTATAAAAGAAGGAAATTACTTAGTATTGAAATTGGGATGGGGAGTAGGTGGAAGGGACCAGAAGCCAATGAAGCTTTGATCAGCAATATACCATGTTTACTAGTGTGTGTTTGTGTGCTACTGGTGACACAGGATGTTAGTGCACACTGTGAATTCAGACAGAATATTGTGGATACGTGAGACTCGAGACTGAGTCCAGTTTCAGAGGAACTGTGCAAAATTGCACCCTGTTTTTTACTCTCTTTTCTTAAACTGTTCTGATTTTGCAAGATAATTTTTCTCATGCTCTTTTGACTTTAGACCAAATCCATTTTAATTGTTAATTTAGTTAACAGATTAATCCATTTAATTGTTAAATAATGATAATTGTACAAAAGAGTACTTACAAAATAAGGGTGAGGTACAAAAATAGCCATGCCCAGAAATTCAGCATCCCAGAAATGGAGCATTATCATTAATCCTCTGAGGGTTTCTCTGGGTGCCCCCATTTCCCATCTCTACCCCTCTATCATCAGAGAAAACCAGGATCCCCAATTTTTAAATCATGGTTGTGTTAGTCAGTTTTTCATTACTATAATGAAATACCCGAGACAGCTAACTGTGACATGAGAAAGGATTATATAGCTCGGTTTTGAATGTTTAAGTTCAAGACTAGGTATCCAATTGTTTTGTGTCTGCTGAGGTTGGTGGATGGCAACGGAGGAGCCCAGTGTGGAGGTAGGGTCATGTGGTGAGAAAAGAGGCAGAGAAAGTGGCTGGGCACAAACCCAGACTTTTTTTTTTTTTTAATCAATCCTGTTGCAAGAACTCAAGAGGTCACCAACACTTTACAGTACACCCCCAGTTACCTAAGGACCTTCTACCTTGCTCCACCTGCTAAAGTTTCTACCACCTCCCTGTAGCACCACTCTGCATGCACTTTTACACATAGGACTTTGGGAGACACCCAAAAATATCCAAGCCATAATCATTACCTTATCCATTGACTGCTGAGTTTCAAGATGGGCCCCTTTCCTTGCAGATACCTATGGGGGACAAAGAGTTTAAAAAAAAAACTTAACATTTATTCTTGAATGTCCTCACATTCTTTTAAGGAGTTATTTATTTATTTGAAATGCAGAGTGACAGAGAGAGACGAGGAGACAGAAAGAAAGAGGTCTTCTATCTGCTGGTTCACTCCCCATGTGGCCACAATGGCCAAGGCTGGCTAGGCCAAAGCCAGGAGCCAGGTAATTCATCTGGGTCACCCACATGAATGCAGGGGCCCAAGCACTTGGGCCATCTTCTGCTGCTTTTTCAGACACATTAGCAGGGAGCAGGATGGAAAGTGGAGCAGCCAGGACTAGAACTGGTGCTCCGATATGGGATGGCAGCATTGCAGGGAGCAGCTTAACCCTCTGAACCACAATGTCAGCCCAGGGCAAAGGATTTATCTCCTGGTCACCTGACTATCAGATGTAGCCCTGTGCAGGGGTCTCACATTAAACTCCTCTCCTGGGTGGCCTTGGCTTTGGTTCTGCCCCTTAACTCCCATGAGACTGTGAAAATCAAATAGGGAATTCACCTGTGTGACAAATACAGAGTTAATTATATGAAAGCTTGTTTTGTTTATATCTCAGGTGTCCCATTTTCCCTTTATTTATTTGTGAGACAGAGGAGAGGAAGAAATTCCCCAAATTCTTGCAATGGCCTGGACCGGGCCAAGCCATGGCTGGGAGCCAGGAACGGAGATTGAGTCACCCAGGTTGGGGCAGGGACCCAATTGCTTGAGCTGTCACCTGCTGTCTCCTAGGTCTGCAGTAGCAGGAAGCTGGAGTCAGGAACTGGGGCCAGCTACCAGACCCAGGCACTCTGATTAGAGGGTGTGGGCGTCTTAACCAGCATCGTAACTGTGAGGCTGAACACTCACCCCTTACTGGTTCTTTGACTCCTTGGTGCTCCTCAGCTGCTCAGGAAGGCGTCTGTCTTTCTTTTCTGGAATTTTTAGTTGTTTTCTCAGTGGAGAGTCATTGTATTAGTCAGCTTTTCCTAACTGTCAAATACCCAAAAGGAGCTCCCTGGGAAGGAAAAGGTTTATTTCAGATCACAATTTGGAGGTTCACAGTTCAGGATTGGGTGGCTCTGTTAGTGTGGCATCTGGTGGAGGCTGGCCTTGGTGGAGTGTGTGCAGAGGAGCCATCCCACGGTGAGCCTGCAAGCGGGAGAGTGATGCTAGGCCAAACTTGGCTTAACGAACCAACTGTGTTGCAAGAACTGCCTTCCAAGGGCAAACTCCAGTGACCTAAAGATCTCTCACCAGTCCCACCTCGAAGATGGTACAATTAGATCAAGTTTCCACTCTGAATCTTTCAGCCATTAACATAAGACTTCAGAATTTACACTTCTGCATAAGTTTGGGAAGCTAAATCCTGCTCAGTTCATTACCATCCATCAGTGTTTCTAGTCCACCTGGTTATGACAGAAATTGGCTAAACTTGTTTTAAAAATTGCATTGTTTTATATATTTTGCCTCAAGGTTTGCTGGAGACTGACCCATTGCAAGGAAGAGATGAAAGCACAGTAGCCAGTGCTGACTTCTCTAGCATGCTCTCTGAGGAGGAGAAGGAGGAGTTAAAGGCAGAATTAGTCCAGGTATGTTTAGTAAACTTGATGCTGTTTCTATCCCTGCATCTTGAGAGTTGCTGTTTCAAATAAGTCTCATGTTGCAATTGTGTGGTTTTCATTTAATATATTTAATAAATGAGTGCATGGCAAGATGATTCATTTTTTTCCCATGGTATTTTTATAATGCTGACTGTCTGTTACCGTTGGTTACAGTGGTAAAATGAATGACTGGTCTGCTGAAGTTATAATCACAATTAGCTTTAAATGTGCACCACTTACTTTTTTTTTATTACCAGAATATTCTGGGAGTAATAAATGACACACCTGATGGAACCCTTCATGACCATATTCTAGGTGCAGGCTCTTTCTTAAGAGTGGTTTATGTTTTAGGTCAGCAGCTTGGCTCAACAAACACTTCAAAATGATTTTAATGGAAAAGTCCATCATAGAAGCAATGGAATCTGCACTTTTGCAGAAGACTAAAGCTTAAAGGTGGAGAGGAAAGCTATGGTTAACTGAGACCCAGTTAGATCTTGTGTCATTGTGCTGGGGATATGGGCCAAGAAGGGCGGCGGATGCAGGGCTCATTGTGAAGACAGCCTTGGGTTCAAGCCTTTTGTTTGTGATGCACACTCAGCCTTGTACGCACTCACCCTTAAACACCAGGCCAAAGGCCCTTCACTTTCTAGGAGGAGAGGGCTAGAGAAAGGGCTGCCCAGCTCCAGCAAGGCAGCAGGACAAGAGGAGCAGAGGCCAGCCTTGTCTCCTCATTCTGTGTCCTGTTCCCACCGGAAGCAGAAGTGAGGTCATTGCCTTCCTGCTCTGGCTGTCCCCAGGCGAGAGAGCATGCAGTTTGAGTTCCATCTTAATGCTACCCCCTTGCCCAGTCTCAACTCTTCAAGTTCTGACCCCTGGAGAGTGTGTTCTGACAGTTCATAGCACAATTAAAAACTAGATGCTTTTACAAGACATCCTGAAGTAAATTTCATTAAATATTCCTAATTTAAATTTTATTTTAATTGACATAATGGTTGTGTACATTCCCATGGGGTACAGTGTGATGTTTTAGTTCATGCATCTATTATATAGTGGTCAGAGCAAGATATGAGACATCCATCACCCAAACATTTGTCATTTCTTTGTGAGAGACATTCAAAAGCCTCTTTTCTAGTTTTGTTTTTAAATTCTTTAAAAATATTTATCTATTTATTTGGAAGCCAGAGTCATAGAGAGAGGGAGAGACAGAGAGAGTGAGGTCCTCTGTATGCTGGTTCATCACCCTAGTGGCCATAACAGCCAGGGCTGAGCCAGACCCAAGTCAGGAGCCAGGAGCTTCATCCAGATCTCCCACATGGGAGATGGGGCCCAAACATTTGGGCCATCTGCTACTGCTTTTTCCAGGCCATTAGCAGGGAGCTGGATTAGAAGTGGAGCAGCCAAGACATGAGCAGGTGCCTGTATGGGATGCCAGGATCCTAGGCAGAGGGTTTACCTTGTGTGCCACAACACAAGCTCCTCTTCTAGTTGTTTTAAAATAGTAAGATTCAATATTGTTGACTGTAGTCACCCTACTGTGCAAATAGAATGCCAGGACTTACTCCTCTTACCCAGCTGTAGGATTGCACCTATTGACCCCTATTGACCCCCGCCACTTCCCTCCCCAACTTCTGGTACATACTGCTCTGTTCTGTAACTTTTATGAGATAACTTTTTTTAGATTTCCCAAATGAGTGAGTCTTTCTGTGCCTGACTTTAAAATAATTTCACTTTCAATAAAGAGCAGCTTGTTCCTCTGGCACAGCCAGAAATGATTTCAGTAAGCTTAGTGCCTCAGATCAAGAAGCCTGGATTTTTTTTTAAAGATTGATTTATTTATTTGAAAGGCAAAGAGACAGAGAAAGAGAGAGAGAGGGAGGGAGGGAGGGAGGTCCTCTACCATCTGCTGGTTCACTCCCCAGATGGCCACACGGCCAGAACTGAGCCGATTTGAAGCCAGGAGCCAAGAGCTGCATTTGGGTCTCCCACATGAGTGCAGGGGCCCGAGGACTTGGGCCATCTTCTACTGCTTTCCCAGGCCACAGCAGAGAGCTTGATCGGAAGTGGGGCAGCCAGGTCTCAAACCTGCACCCATATGGGATGCTGGTACTACAGGCATCGGCTTCACCTGCTATGCCACAGTGCCAGGCTCTAGCCTGGATGTTTAGCTGGATCTGTGTGCAGCCACTGATTGACCCCACATACCAGAGAACACTGAGCAAAACAAGCCTTTTCAGACAATGAACTAGCTCCACATCTTTCTGCCTGAAATTCTGCTTCATGATCTGTATCCAAAGTTTGTGTCCTGCACACTGATATAACTAGCCAGTTCTAAGATAGGATGGTGATAGTTAACTTCAGCACAATCTGTGTTAACAGATTGACCACTATAACATGCCTTGAATTTTTCAGGGTTTTGGGATTATTGAGATATATGTGCATAGATTAATGCATGTTCGTTTTTGTGCAGTGTTTTTATTTTTTAAAAAAAATATTTATTTTTTTGTTGGAGAGGCAGTTACAGAGATTTAGAGAGAGAGAGAGAGAGAGAGAGACCCCTTCGATCCACTGGTTCACTCCCCAAATGGCTACAATGGTCAGGGCTGAGCCAGGCCAAAGCCAGTAGTCTGGAACTCCATCTGGGTGTCCCCCATGGGTGGCAGGGACCTATGCACTTGGGTCATCATCTGCTGCTTTTCCAGGTGCTTTAGCAGGGAGCTGGATCAGAAGTGGAGCAGCCAGGGCTTGAACTGGTACTCATACGGGATGCCAGCATTGCAGGCAATGTCTTAACCTGCTGTGCCACTACACCAGTCCCAGCATTCTGCATTCTTTTTTAAGATTTATTTATTTATTTAAAATTCAGAGTTACACAGAGAGAGAAGGTGAGAGAGAGGTCTTCCATCCGCTGGTTCACTCCCCAACTGGCTGCAACGGCGCCAATCCGAAGCCAGGAGCCAGGAGCTTCTTCCAGGTCTCCCATGCAGGTTCAGAGGCCCGAGCACGTAGGCCATCTTCTGCTTTCCCAGGCCACAGCAGAGAGCTGGATCAGAAGTGGAGCAGCCAGGACTCCAACTGGCACCCATATGGGATGACAGCACTGCAGGCAGTGGCTTTACCTACTACGCCACAGCGCCGGTCCCAGCATTCTGTATTTTTCTAAATGTTCAACAATGACATATGCTACTTTCATAATGAAGAAAAAAGTAAGCATTGGATTTGTGGTGCCTTTTATTTTTAATTTGAGAGACAGAGAAAGCTCCCATCTACTGGTTCACTCCCCAAATGCCCACAGTGGCCCCCAACTGGGAGGGAATCCAGGAGCTGAAAATTCAACTGAGAGTTCCCACGTTGGGGACAGAAACTCAGTCACTTCAGCCATTGCTGCTGTCTCTCAGTCTGCATTAATAGAAAGCCAGAATGAAGACCAGAGCTGGGTATGCAGCCCAGCATTCTGATATGAGATGCTGATCTCTCTATGGGAATCCTGACACTGTGTAGGATCAGTTACTGGGATTCATGTGATCATACTTTACAGTGCTCTACCTCCGCGTGTGCCTCTGACTTCTGGGCTCTTCCGAGATGAAGAAGTGCCACATGTTGCGAGGTGGCATGCTGACTTCTAGAGGCACAGGGCACAGCCGTCTGCCCCAGACCCAGTGAAAAGCAAAGGAAGTAGATCTTTGCCATTTTTCCTCTTTGTGCTTCCACTTCTCCCTTTCCTTCAGCCACCTCTGCTCTATGCTCATTCTTTCTTAAATCTGCTTTTACTATCCTTGCGTGTGTGCGCACACACACACATACCAAAGCACTTCTTTTACATCCCACATGCATTCAGATTTGACCTGCACTGCTAGGATTTAATTCTAAGAACACATTCAGACAGCCATTGAGGCGGTTGCACCTCTAGCTTTATAGGAGTAACTGGGATATCTGATAGACAACTCGGCTCCTCTGTCTTCTCTCCACAAACATTCTTCCTGGGACCCTAGTCACAAGCAGCTCTCTCTGCATCTGCGAAAGAACCTGCTGGGTCCTGTCACCACTCAAGAACCAAGGCATCTCAGGAGCCAGCCTGTTTGATCGCTGCCTTTGAGTCAGGCACTGTGTTGTGGCCATGAACCAAAGAGCCAGAGCAAGACTTCCTGTACCAGGATGTGTTAATCTCTGCTTTGCTGCAAGTGGGTCCTCAGTGTACCAGGTATCGCGTCTCCTCTCTGGTCCTCTCCTCTCCTTAGTGTCCCTGCATCCTCTGCCTGCTGGCTCCACTGGATCCCTGCATCTCCATCCTCCACTCTGCCTCCGCACCCTATTCTGCAGTGTTTTGTTGTTAATATTCCCATGAGGATGCCCTTAGACTTTGGAGAACCTCATAATTCCATTGCCCACATAGGCCAACATTTTTTGTGGGCTTACCAAGTGCTGGCAATAAGAAGGCTGCTTTTGGTGGGAGACATCATGTTTTGGAGGTTTATTCACATATATCAGTATTTCATTTCCTTTTATGGCATAAAAGCCGGTTGCAATTTGTCCATACATCCTTTGATGACCAGTTGAGGTGGTTCCACCTTTTGGCTGCTGAGAATAATACTGCTGTGAACTTGTGTGAATATGCATGTGTTTGGGTACATGCTGTTAATTCTTTGGGATATTTACTGTGTTAGGGTTCTACAGACAAAATCAACAGGACACACACATACAGTTGAGAGGGAATTTATCTACCAGGGGAATTGGCTGATGAGATTATGACAGCTGATAAATCCCACAACCAGTCATCTGTTGGCTGGAGATGCTGGGATACCAGTAGCACAGTCCAAGTCTCTAGGCCTCAGAATCAGGGAAGCAAGAGGTAAAATTCTTGGTTCTAGCTGAAAGCCTGAGTACCATGGAGCAGGTGAGTGGTGTAAGTCTTAGAAAGTTCTAAGGTCAGCCAGCCTGGAGCTCTAATGTCTAAGACCAACTCTCAGAGAGACTGATTGACCTTTTAGATTTGTTCTCCTCAGGTGCCCAGCCAGTTGATGGTGCCTGCTGTCTCTGATCTGACTCGGACTTGTTAATCTCACTTGGAAACACCCTTACAAACACACACAGAACAGCATTTTCCCAGGTTTCTTGTATTCCTTAATCTAGTCAAGTTGACAACTAAAACTAACCATCATGTACACCTAGTAGTAGAACTGCTGGATTGTACAGTAATTCTGTGTTTAACATTTTGGGAAGTTGCCAGACTGTTTTCCATGTGGCTGAACCATTTTACATTCCAACCAGCCATGTACAAAGCTGCCAGTTCCCCTACATCTTTGCCAACATTTGTTATTTTCTTGGTAATTCTTTGTTAAACAATCATGTTTAATATAATATTGGGTATAATATCCTACAAAGAGATCCTCTGGGAGTCAAGAAACCAAAGAACCACCCTATTCGTTTCTAACAAAGAAATAATTAATTTAAAATTAAAGGGGAAAGGATGCATTAAGTACCTATGAATTAATGTGATTTACCTGCACTCCACTTCATTCCAAATTTAATGTGGTTTACAACAGAACTAACCATATACAGTTCTGACATCATCTGTATCAGAATATCTGGAGATGTGTGTTAAATAAATACTCAGGTCTCCTAAGCTTAGGACATCATAATCTTAGGGCATGAGGAAGGAAAATACACCTGAGAATATGGATTTTCCATATGCTGTCTTGGCAACTGACTCTTATGTAAACTGAAGTTGAGAACCACAAGTAGAACTAAGCCAAAAAAAAAAAATCCCATTAACAAATGAGACATTGAATTTCACCATCATCATCATTTAAATACTTTTGATTAAGACCTTGTTGTGGCCAAACTCTTAGCTGTGTAGAAAGAGAAGTGTTTGGTCATTTTGAATCTTGCAAGTTTATATAATTTAAGATTGTCTGTATTTTCTCTCCTGAAACTTGCTTAGTAGATTTTTGGTGTATATGTAGGTCTCAAGTAAATATGCTGAAAGTTTTGAGAAGTTTAAGCCCTACATATTACTGAAGTGATTAGACTTTCTTCACAGCATCTGCGATGCTGTTTGGTAAATTGGCCATTTTATGTTTCTCTTTATCATGTTTTGGTATCAAGATTTAATTAAAAATCTAATAAAAATTCTGAATCCTCATAACTCCCATGTAATTAGTGAATAATTCACTGGCTCATTCATAATATCTGGTGGAACATGGGTATGATACTGGGAATGTTAACATATTTAAGCCTTTCATCTTCTTTCTTTCATCTGTAATCTTTTTTCTGTTACTTAAAATGTTCCCATTAATATTTTTTCAAAAGATTATTTATTTGAAAGGCAGGGTTACAAAGAAAGAGAATGAGAGACAGAGAGAGAGAGAGGAGTCTTCCATCTATTGGTTCATTCCTCAAATGGCTGCAACAGCAGGGACTGGGCCAGGTTGTGGCCAGGAGCCAGGAGCTTCTTCTAGATCTCGCTTGTAGGTGTCAGCATACTTGGGTCATATTCTCCTGCTTTCCCAGGTATATTAGCTGGGAGCTGGGTAGGAAGTGGAGCAGCTGGGACTTGAACCATTTCAGATGCTAGCACTACAGGCGATGGCTTAATAACCAGCTGTGCCATAACGCTGGCGCCACATTATTTTTATTACACAGTAGAACCTACAGCATATACCTTTTGTTAAGAAAGAAAATACCAGACTCCCAATAATTTCAAGGACACAGAACCTGTTATGATCTAAAGGAAAGCAGAAAAGGGCTTTCTAGTAAAGAATTAATTTTTGACATGAAGCCCAAGCAAGAGATACAACCTTGAAAAATATGTTTAAAGATTTATTTTATTTATTTGAAAGGCAGGGTGACAGAGAGAAAAGGAGAGACAGAGAGAGAGAGAGAGAGAGAGAGAGAGAGATTTTTGATAATGCTGGTTCACTTCCTAAATGACTGTTCTTTGGGGCTGGGCCAGGCTGAAGCCAGGAGCCAGGAACTCCCACATGCTAAGTACTTGGGCCATCTTCCCTGCTACTTTCCCAGTTGCATTAGCAGGGAATTAAACTGGAAGTGGAGCAACAGGGACTGGAACCAGTACTGCCATAAGGGATGCTGGTATCATAGGCGGAGGCTTAACCCACTGGATCACAATGCCAGCCCCAACCCTGAAAAATATCAAACAGCAGATCAAATGCAGAAGGATGCATAAACAAAGATGAAAAAATGTACTACAACATGATAACAAAAGAATGGAGGAGTTTAATTTTAAAATAACAATGTGCTCTCATTTAACAGAAAAGCTAGAAGCATTGTTCCTCTGGTGGTCCTGAATATGCTGCTCTTGGAGTTGTCAGTGTGTGTGCCTAAGTGTGCCTACTGCAGACTCGTGCTTATTAGGAAAAGACAGAGTTCTATTGATTATGCCTGGTTAATGCAATGTATAACCTATTTTATGTTTTGGAAAGATTCTTGTGAACATATACAAATTTCTCCATCAACATCAAGAAATAGACAATGGTAGCTTACCAGGACTTTTATCGATAGCAAAAATCCTAATTATTGTTCTGATTCAATATTTCTGCCTGCCTTGCTGAAGTACTTACTTGTGGATCTGCAGATTCGCATTATTCCTGTCTGTGCACCATGGAGTCTTCCTTATACTAGTAAAATTGTTCTTTTTCCCAATAGCAGTCACCTTTCTTGACACTTTTCTAGCAGCTGTCTCTGGTGACTCAAGGGACATATTTGCAAAATGACTAACACAGTCAGTGGTATATTTTGTGGTCAAAAGTAGAGGGACACTTGGAGTGTAAATGAGACAGAGCTTCTGCTTTTTGTCTGTCTGTTTGTTTTTTAAATAAGACATCTAGTAAAGTGGCAGACTTTTCTTATCTCCGGGCATGTAGGGGAGTTCTAATGATTCTTTTCTAGCTTAACAAAGAAAGTCCCAAGTCTTTATTCTTTTCTGAAAACAAGGATGTAAATTTAAACACTGTTACCAGAGCAATATATTCTAAAGTATGACAACCAATTTAAAATCGTAATTTTGTGGAAGTTCAAATTGATTTTCACAGACTATAACAACACTCACTGAAATCTGGATATTTTACAGAACTCCTTTGTTAGAAATGACAAGATGGATTTTATATTGCTGAAGAGATGTGCTTATCTGTAGCATGGTAGAAAGAGGAACTATGTCCATTAAAAAATCTTGTACATGAATTTCAGTAGTAATTGTTTAAATAGATTTATGTTTGAAAGTTAAAGTGACAGAGAAAGATGGAGAAACAGAGAGAGAGAGATCTTCCATCTGCTGGTTAGCTCCCAGTGCCACATCAGCTGGGATTACACCAGGTTGAGGGAGGAGGCAGGGACCCAGACACTCTTGCCTTCATCTGCTGCCTTCCCAGGTGCATTGACAGGAAGCTGGCTTGGAAGCTGAGTAGCAGGACTCCAACTGGGCACTCCAATATGGGATATGGGTGTCCCAAGGGGACTGCTTAACCCATGGCACCACAATGCCGACTCAAGATGTTGTTTTATAAAAGAAAGTATAATAAAACATATTGTTCAAATATTATATCCAGGTACGGCTTCAGAGAAGTTCAGTGTTTTCCATTCATTTTTCTGTTGCTCTCTCACAGAATATCACCAACTGAGTAAATTGTAAGCAAAAAAAGTTCATTTGGCTCATGATTCTGGAGGCTGGCCGATCCAACATCAAGGGGCCGTGTCTGCTGAGGCCCTTTCCTACCTCATGATCAGCTAATGGAGAGAAGGAGGACGAGAGAGACAGACAGACAGAGAGAGGATAGGCAGAACTCATCCTTTTGTCAGGAGCCCACCCTGAGACACCAAACCCACTCCCACAGAAACAGCATTAATCCATATCCTAATCATTAATCCTAATCACCTCTTCAAGGTCTTAATCAGGTTGCAATGGCAACTAAATTTTAGCATGAACTTTGGAAGCAGTCATTCAACCCATAACATTTAGAAATAAATTGTTAAAAAGTGCTCATCTCCTGGTAGATTACAGATGATTTTTATTTTGTTTATGTTTTGCTGTACAATCTTTTTTTTTTAACAAGGAGCACTGATTACCATTATGAACATTAAGACTAAACTCTGTATCATTAGCTGAGATATTAGCACGGCACCTGTACGGGCCACATTTGGTCCAGACAAGCATAGGACTGTAAGCCAGCAGATGCAGAATCTGCTGTGGGGCACCAAGAGCTCCAGGGGATGGACTTTGTCAGCTGGTCTGGCCCGTCTCCTTACCGTTTTCCCTCCTACCTGCAGCTGGAAGACGAAATCACGACACTACGACAAGTTCTGTCCGCGAAGGAAAGGCATCTGGTGGAGATCAAACAAAAACTCGGCATGAACCTGATGAATGAGTTGAAACAGAACTTCAGCAAAAGCTGGCACGACATGCAGACGACCACGGCGTGAGTAGACTGTCCGCAGAATTAAAAAATATTTACCTAGCTTGTGTTCTGTTTCTTCCTACCAGACTGAGCTGGAATTTGTAACTGGTAAAAAGATTTTCTCAAGAAGCAAAAATGAAGATGAGGAATCATTAAGTATGTGGCATGTGAAACAGACCATAAAGCAGCTTCATAAAACGAAACCTATTTCCACTCAGACTCCTTTTGTGGGATTTATGGTTGAAGTATTTTTTCTTTATTTCATTTTTATAAACATTTATTAAATGTATTTTTTTATTTTTCTCTTCAAAATTACAAGTAAGCAGGTATTTTTCTCTGAGAATCCTTGACATTCACTACATATTTTGCATTTCTATCAAAAATGGTTGGCAGCTTTAGTACAGACTTGTTGGAAATTAATTTAAGAATAAAAAAGTTGCACTGCTCATGTTTTAGGATGTACTTAAAAAAACTTTTAAAAAATTTACTTATTTATTTGAAAGGCAGAGTTACTGAGAGAGAGGGAGAGACAGAGAAAGAGATCTTCCATCCATCGGTTCAGTCCCCAAGTCTCAGGGACAGCCAGGACTGAGCCAGGCCGAAGCCAAGAGCCAGGAACTTCATCCTGGTCTCTCACATGGATGGCAGGAGCACCAGCACATGGGCCATCTTCCACTGCTTTTCTCAGGCCATTAATAGGGAACTGGATCGGAAGTGGAGCAGCAGAGACTTGAACAAGGGACACATGAGCAGGTGGTGGCTTTAGCCACTACACCACAATGCCAGCCCCAGGATGTATTTTTTTATCTTGATGACTCTAAGGAATGTTTAAAGCTGGATTTATACCAACAGAATGTTTCCTGCTTTGTCATGATCTCATCTTGTAGGGATAAGCAGCCTTGGTTATTCTACGATCATGGTTTCACTGGATTACTTTTAAAATGATGTGGAATATTTAACTATGTGGTACTTCTCTAATGTTTGAAGGCATTTTGCTTGCCAGGTGGCCTTGTACCAAAGAACAGATGATTACCACATATTTAATATGATTTTTCTTCATTTCATGTCCCTGGGGGCTGGGACTGGTGAGAAAAATCACAGACATCCTTTCTCTAACTTAACTTTAGCCCCAAAGTCCACCTTCCAGAAATTCTTGTCTTTGGATTATGTATTTTCTTCCCTAGTATGCCCTGCCAGTAGGCAAAGATACTGCCTTCCTAATTCTTAACTAGGAATCAGCTTTTCTTTGCTTATACTTTTCTCTGGATTTAGGAGGCCTGGTAATAGGAAGCGGTACTAATTATCTCACGTTCGCCTACCATGTCCTAAGAACCAAGGTCTAAGACTTCTGTGCTCTTTGAATTAGGAGCTGGATCTGCAAGGAGCCTGAAGTCTCCCCAGTGTGGCTCTCCCAGTTTCCAGCTGAAGGAGAGTGTTGCTCTCCCTCTGTAACATGGCCTTGCAGTCCTATGGACTGCTATTCTGTGTGCCCCAAGGACTGATCCTCACAGGTTCAGGGCACAGCCAAGAGTAGGGCAGCTCTTGTGGAGGTCATCAGAGTATCTCCAGGCTAACCAACCTGCGCCAACCTGATGATGACAATTAGGAAAGAAGATGAGAAACCATTCATTGATGTGCACCAATTCCAGATATATCTTGCACCACCTTGGGAGCAATCTCCTGAAAAGAATAGCTGGATTCTTAGCAAGCAATGCTTAATAAATAAGCTTGTCTATCAGAAGTTTTGAGCTCGTCTTTGCACTTTGGGGGCCAATACCAGTTAATGGCCGTGGAAGTGAGAGGCTGAATCTTCTCCAGTTCCATGGAACTGGTCACTTCTGCATTTGATTCAGGTCTGAGGTTTCATGTGACATAAACCTGAACTTCCTTCTGGGGTATAAGAGATATGAAGGTTTGCCCTGCTTGGCCTCCCTAATCACACTGCAGGGGTAGACTAACTGTATGGAAAGCGGGACAGATCTGTTGCTGAATGGAGGTGAGAGGAAGGAAGTGGAGGAAAGCAGAGCGTATGGAGCAGAGGGTATATCAAATTTGCCCTGTGTCTGAAGGGGTGGAGGTGGAAGGTTAGCAGAGAGGGGAGAGATTCGTATTTGTTCTGGGATGTGCAATTAGAACAGGCAAGTTCAAGGAAGACTTCTAGCCACTTTACACTGGGGAGAATATGTGGTTTGCCTTTTCCCATGTTTGAAAAGCAAATTGGTTTTGCAGCCAGGCAGTCTGCTTTGTAATAACTTTTGGTTGGATGAAGAGAGCATATTTATTCTCTAGGGTTATGGAGTTTATGCTCTGGTCAGGAAGACAGAGTTTTGTTTTGGTTTTGGTTCAGTTTTTTACAAGTTAAGTGAAGAGTGATCCGAAGGAAAATACAGGGTATTGTGGGAGCCAGGTTTGGGGTCTCAGGGAAGATTTCAAGATTTAATCAGAGCTCTGGGGGATGAGTGGGAATGTCCTCCTACGGGAGGGGCAGGAGGAGCCGCCTGGACATGGATAGCACAGCCCAAGGAAGGCTCCAGGCAGAAGTGAAGGTGCCTCCTCTCAAAGGAAAGTTTCCAGTTAATTAGTGTTTTCTCAAGAGCTGGGAGTGGAGGGGTTAAGCTGTGGCATCTGTTAATAGAGTTATCTTGGCCCCAGGGCAGTAGAAAATCATTAAAAATGCCAGGACAATTCCATTTATTCAACGTGTTAATGAGTGTCCACTAGTAGGTGGTAATATGCAGAGGATAATCTAAGGTCCCAGGATATTAGAATTCAACAAAGACAGACAACGTTCCAACTCTCATAGATTGTGGAGAAGGAAGTAAGAGAAGCAAGCCAGGAGATAAACACAGGAGGAGGTACCAGGAAGTGCTATGATGAAAACAGCACGGGGATGTGCTAGTGAGTGTCACAGAGCTGAGTGTGGACACTGCTTGGTGTGGGTCCCAGGCAGGGGAATCCTGTCCTAGGAGGTTGCTTCCAAGCTCAGACGTGAATGTCAAGAAATATCCAGTCTTACAGTGGTCTTGGGGAGAGCTCTGGAGCTGAGGAAACGTTTCTGCAAAGACCTGAATGCTGAACTAGCTGTAGGGACCCAAGGCACTCTCTAGAGTGAAGTGAGAGGACATGTGGTGGGAGCCTCTGGGACCTGCAGGCCATAGAGAGGAGTAGGGATTATCCTGGATGCCATGGGAGGGTTTGAAGCAGAAAGTGACCTGTTCTGATCCAACTCATAAACATAAACCTTGGGTACTTTGTGTACTGTAGATGGTGGAGGGCATGGGTGAAACTGAAGATCATTTGTGAGGCTCCTGTGGTTGTTTAGGTAGGGGATGACGTGAGGGAGAGTCATGGACCCAGAGGGGGTAGGATTTAGAGATTGGGCCAACAGGACTTCCCAGTGGTTATTTCCCAGTGGAGGTAGAATAGAGGGACCACATGTGACTCTTAGGTCATTGACTTGGGCTAATTGGTTAGTTTTGGTGCTGTTTACTGTGATCAGAGTATGGCATTGTGGTTAAGCTCCTGAGCTGTAGACTGGAGTGCTTGGAGTGCAATCTAGGGCCTTGCTCCCTCAGTAAAATAAGCTTATATTGGTACCTATCTGAAGGGTAGTGAGGATTTACTGAGGCAGTATTTGTAAAACATGCAGGACAGTGTCTAACACTAGGTGGTTAGGCAGTAGTTATTTACTGTTGTGAGAAAGCTGGAGAAACATGTCTGGAAGGGGAGGCCCAAGAATTCTGTTTCAGCACTCTGAGGTCTAACCTGTAATGGATAGACAGGTTTTGATACAATGAGGGCAATTCAAAGGAAAAGTTAAAGGCAGAGACATACATCTGGGAATCATCAGCATATACATATTGTGGGAAGCCACAGGACTCAGTAAGATTTCTCTGGTGGTTATTTAATAAATATAGATGATCATGGACACAATGACTTTCAAGAATGCAGTTAATTATCCTTTGTAGAAAACAATCAATCCTTTTCTTTCCTTCTTTCTTTTCTTTTTAGAATATTTACTCAAAAGTCAGAGTTACAGAGAGAGAGAGAAAGATATCTTCTATCCACTGGTTTACTCCCCAGATGGCCACAAGGTCAGAGCTAGGCAAAGGCGAAGCCAGGAGCTAGGAGCTATATCCAGGTCTCCCACTTGGGTGGCAGAGGCCCAAGCACTTGGGCCATCTTCTACCGCTTTTCCCAGGCCATTAGCAGAGCAGCCGGGACACAAACAGGCACCCATATGGGATGCTGGGAGTCACAGGTGATAATTTTACTCACTAGGCCACACCTGCTGACCCTCAATCCCTTTCTTAAGCAGGAGGTGTAAATCTGTCAAGCATATCATTTTGAGAGATTGTTTTCCCCAAACTCTTTTTTTCTTGGCTGCTGGGAGAAAAGGGAGGGTCTTAATCACATGTTAGGAGTCATAACAAAATCTGTTTTCTTCCTGACTTAATTAAGTCCCTGCTGTTAGTGCTCACAATGCCCATTCCAGGACAACAACTGCACCTCATATGAGGAGAACTTTGATGTCAGGAACTGATGAGCAGTGGTCGGGTTAGGGTGGGTAGAATTAGATTTCAAAGCACTAAAAAGAAGTTCAGCTGTCAGAGGATGTGTGTGATTCCCAGAGGCGGCACTTTGCATACTGATTAAGCAATCATGACCTATTTAGTTTGATTTATAATGAAAAGAAAATCTATGGTATGTTAGTGAAAACTCTTGGCGTATTTTTGTCTGCAGTAGGATTCAAATTGGAATAGGACCCAGTGAGTAGGAAAAATTACCTAGAAGCTTCAAATTATCTCCTTTATAGAAAGATTCCAGGACTACAGGAGCAGGTCATGGGATCATCTGTGTCCAGGGTTTGTTGTTGCTGGAGCTCTTGTCATAGATTTTTACATGGAGAGATTTGAAAGAATCTTAGAACACTCAAAAAAAAAGTCCCTTTCTTTTTTTATTTTCTGTTGCATTTGCACTTCCAGGAGGCATTTAGGTGAAGAACCAGGAGTACTTGAATCTCTTCTGTAGGCAGAAGTAGCAATCAGGAAAAGCAGCTGCATGGTGGGTTGTTTGAGCTGACATGCTTTGTTGATTCAATGAGTATTCTGCTTTGCCAACTCATGAAATCCCCCCACTAATAAACCTCTCTGACTGAAGCCATAGGCCACATGGTGGGTCTACAGAGGGCAGAAGGTTATGGGATGGAATTTAAACTAGTCTGTATTTTTGAGAAGCTTAATAACTTCATCCTCTCTAACTTCAGCCTTTAAAAAGTCCTCAGTGCTTGAAATTGAAGTTTAGTTTATGATTTATTTGGTCTTTGATTTTGCACTTCTAAGACTTCAGGCCATTATGGTCGGGAATGATGAGTATCTCTTTTTTTATGAGGAGCCTGTCAGAGCAATGTTGAGTTTGCAAGCGCTGATGAAGGGTATAGAGCTAATTTAAAAAGGTTGTGCACACCCAGCCTCACACTCGGATGCCTGTTCTTCCTATCTGTAGGCTTTCCTCTTACGACACTAGGCAGAGACATTTGTTCTCTAGATTTGGTGGTAAGTTTGTTCATGACATGGTTAGGGAGCTCTTGGAAGAAAATAATCCTTAATGTTTTTTGCATCTTTGGTGAAACTGCATGTGCAACCAGTAGAGGAGTGTTCCCTTTTAAATCCCATAACAGAAAAGACATTCGTGCTATGAAACATCTTCTTATAACAAGACTGTGGAATTTTTGTCTTCTAGTTGTGTATAGAAAAATGCATGAGCTCAAAATAGTTTAGAAGATGACGTGAGTTCTCCTTTTGATTATTAACAGTGACTTTGAAGTTAGTAAGATGTGACAAGAGGACTGCATAAAATGTCAACAGAATACTTTTTAAAGTTATTATTTATTTTTTTAAATTCACTTGAAAAGCAGACAGAACAAGACAGAGACAGAGAGTTCCCATCCACTAGTTCACTCCCCAGATGCTCACAATAGCTGGCTCTGGGCCAGGTGGAAGCCAGAAGCCTGGAACTTGGTCCAGATCTCCCATGGGAGTGGTAGGGACCCACCTATCTGAGGCATCACCTGCCAATTTCTGGGGTGTGCATTAGTAGGAATTCATCTAGGCACTCTGATGTGGGATACGGGTGTCCCAGGTGGTGTCTATATCACTTAGCAAACGCCTGCCCCAGAGTAGTTTTTCTTTGGTTGCAGAGCCCCTTACCCTACACTACTGAAAGTTGCCTGTCAGTGTGCTAACCTGTCCTGGCCAGGAAATGCTGCCCATTGTAGTCACACTGGTAATGAAAAAAAAAGTCTCCTAGTTAATAGGAGGCCTCGGTTGTTCTCCAGAGCCAGGAACTTCACACTGGAAATGCCTGACTGCACCTGTAGCTGAAGTCTGGGAATCGAGCTGGACAGGACTTGTGTTTTCCTCCTTTGGATCCTGCTCTGGTTTCCTCAGGCATTGGACAAACATTGAGAATGAAGTAGATGTGACCCTCGGGAAGTTTAGGAGGTGTCAGAGAAAGACATTTTCAAAGAGCTGTGCAAAGAAGATCGGGGGAACACAGAGAAGAGGCACAGAACACAGATGTCTTTTTTAAAAAAATAATTTGTTATTTGAGTGAGAGAGAGACAGAGACAGAGAGTTCCTATCCTCTGGTTCAGTCATAAAATGCCTGTACAGTCTGGGCAGGGCCCAGCTAGAGCTGGAGCCAGGAACTCAATCCAGGTCTCCCCTATGACTGGCAGGGACCCATGTACTTAAGCCATCACCTGGGGCCTCCCAAGGGTATGCATGAACAGAAAGCTGGAATTGGGAGCAGAACCAGAACTTGAACCCAGGAACTCCAATATGGAATGTGCGTCTCTTAACTGCTAAGGCTAAATGCCTGCCCCAGAACACAGACTCCTTAAGTAATACTCCCAACTTGTCTGATGCACAATTGACATAAGTATATGTTACTATTTCTGCTTTTACTCAAGGAGAACTTATTATAACTCTGCTTTATGAAGTATGCAAGTTAGCAGTGCTGTAATCTATATTTAGCTTAAAATAAGAGATACTAATAATCTAAAATTCTAAACACTATTTCCATATAAATTACAAGGTTATCAGTCCAATCAGAAGATTAGTATTTAAGTTGTTTATTATTACTTGAATATTGTTGAACATAGTTATGTATGTTATGGCTGAAAAATGATTTTGCCTATCGGCAGTACTAACTGGAATCAAATTGAGTCAAATTTCATGGCATTAAAAAGAGAGTAAAATGCAAATACATCAACTTCTTTAGAGCTTATCAGTGGGCTGATAGGAGAATTTATTTTCAAGACTTAAGCTCCTGGTTTCTGGATGGTGATGCACATTACTAATTCAATTTTAAGATCGAGTTCAATCAAGTTGCAGCATCAGGTTACAGGGTCTGTGCAGTGAATAACTATGATGTGAGTGGTGCTCCTTGGTGCATTTTTGTTTGTTTGTTTAAAGATTTATCTATTTATTTGAAAGGCAGAGTTTCAGAGAGGCAGAGGCAGAGAGAGAGAAAGAAGTCTCCCATTTGCTGGTTCACTCCCCAAATGACCACAATGGGCAGAGCTGGGCTGTTTCGAAGCTAGGAACCAGGAGCTTCTTCCAGGTCTCCTCAATGGGTGCAGGGGCCCAAGCACTAGGTCATCTTCTACTGCTTTCCCAGGCCATAGCAGAGAGCTGGGTTGGAAGTAGAACAGCCGGGACTCGAACCGGCACCCATATGGGTGCCGGCACTGCAGGCAGTGGCTTTACCTCTAAGCCACAGCGTTGGCCCCTCCTTGGAGCTTTTAAGTACTCTGAGCCTGGGGTCCTATTTCCCATGGGGGCCCTGTTTGTTTTCTTTTTGTAATTAATTTTCCCACATAGAAACCTCTCTCATTGTAACATGAGTATATTTTTTAAACCTATGCAAAAACTTTTTCCTTTTACTATCACAAGTTACGTAAAAGTTTCCCCATCCTATAGGTAGTCCTATAGAGCTCTCCTTCCTGTTTTTATGCTCAAAATTGCAGGACAGATTTTTGTCTTGTTCTGCTTTGACTTGTATAATCTCCTGCCAGGTTATCTGTTCTCGATGGGTAATCTAGCATTCTCTCTGTTCCTGTGGCCCAGTTCAGTCACAGAAGACTGTTCTTTTTGACATCGTCCATTCGTTCATCGTGTGCTCCCTGAGTTTTTCCCTGTACCTCTGCCAGGTACTAGGGACACAAAGATGAAAAACTTCCCTGCCCTCAAGTAGGCACAGTCTACTGGAGACACGGGCTCGTGCACAAATCTCATAGCGTGTTCCTAAAGCCATTTTGAGGGTGCGTGTTGTGGCTCAGTGGGTTAAGCCCTCATTTCAGAAAACAGCATCCCACAAAAGAGACCCTGTCCAAGTCCTGGTCACTTCACTTCTTACTCAGCTTCCTTAATGCATCCTGGGGTGGCTCAAGTGTGTGGGCCATTTGGAGAGTAAACCAGCACGTGGATCTCTCTCTCTCTCTCGCCCCTTCCAGTAGATGAAAAAGTAAACTTTTTTTTTAAAACTATTTTTAAAAAGGCACCATATTTATATTTTGTTCCCTTATTATTCCCAGCAATAAATATTTAGAATATGTTAAGCAAGTAGTTATATTTTGCCTTTCCTGCTTTGTTTTACGCACATTAACAGTATAAGTTATTTCCCTTCATAGACTACATTTCTGAATTTATGTGTTACATCAGTGGCTGGTGCGTTCATTGACAAGCCTCTTTTTGTGGAATTATCTTCTCCCTTTAGCCTCTCTTTACTCTCTGTGCAGTCAGTGATTTGTGCTGGCAGACCTGCACATTGAGCTCTGTCTTTGCAAACGTAGGCTCCTCCTGAATTCAGGTCAGTGGTCTTTCTCGCTGCTGAACAGCAGTCAGCCTCATCCTGCCAAACAGGGTGCAAACAATTCCTTCTGTGGATCCTCTTCTTCCTGGAGGAAAGGGGATTTTCACCATAAGCACAGGGAAAGATGAATGTCTTACGGGAGATCATGAAATGGAAACTGCGATGCTTACTGTGGGTCTGTTCTGTTCTAGCTACAAGAAGACACACGAAACCCTGAGTCACGCAGGGCAGAAGGCAACTGCAGCTTTCAGCAACGTAGGGACGGCCATCAGCAAGAAATTCGGAGACATGAGGTACTGGGGGGCAGATCCTTGGGAGCCGGGCCAAAAGAGCGCTTTCTGTTGGCTGTTCTTGACATTTTAAAAGATGTCCACAGATAAATATGTTAGATGACTGATACACTTATGGATGACCAACATACACTTTTATATTGGGACATTTCTGCTTTGAGGATCAGCTTAGGGGACCTGGTCTCAGTGGCACCCTTTCCACTGGGACCTGAACCAGGAAAAATGGCGGATAGAGGGTAGTGAGGAGGGATTGCAAAAGAATGCAGCACATGATGTGATTTGCTAATCCTAATTTAAAGGATAAATTAAACTATATGTTCAGTGGAATGTGCCAGGTTACACTTTCGTATATATCCATGTAGTGTATCTTTTTCCACGCTAAATCCTTACATACAAGTTATATTTTTTTTATTCCAAAAGAAGCCATATGGTGTATACTTCCGGTGTTTTTCTTTCTTAGCAAGATACTGTTTAAATATTAATAAATATTTATTACGCTTTCATTTTTAATGGCTATTATCATCCATTGCTTAGCTATAGCAAGACTTTTAAATGAGTACTCTTGCATATTTTTATTATTTTCAGTATTCCACTATTATATAACACTAGGTTGGTCATCAAGGTAGGTTTTCAACTGAAAACCAAGTGTCCTCATAGTAGTTATCAGAAAATATGTGTCAAATGGGCCATTTATTTCATTATTTATTTCATTTATTTCATTATTTATTATGAGAGTTATCACTCTCATAATTTTTGTTTAAATACCTATCATAGTTTATTCCAAATTTGACTGATAGGCTGAATCAAATTTCTTTAGGAATCACTTTCATTTTTCTTTCTAGATCAGGCTCATCTAAAAAAATTTTTGAAGCAAATTTTCAATGTCTTTTTTAAAAATTTATAATCACTATACTTACTTCACTGGATTTTTAAATTCTTACATACTTTATTATCCTGTGACTTTGCCAACTAAAGGTAAATTTTTATGTTTGTGCTTAAATTATTTTTTCATCTTCAAAATTTGCTGGATTTTGCCAGTGTTCATGCACTATCTTACCAACTAGGCATTCATGAGGCTGGAGTTTAAAAAAGACCTTGGAAAAAACCTGAGTCCATTGTTTTGTCTTTATTTTTACGAATAACATACTATCAAAAAGCAATATAAATTCCTCAGAGGCAGCATATGATAAACATAAATCTTCTAGATTATTAAAACTCCTAATGTTATTACAAATAAAATTTGAAGTCAATTTAGTGACATTAAAACATTTATCTTTTAAAGGCAGGAAAGATCCTATTACCTCTTATACCCAAGAAAATAGCTTTTGCGGTGTTTGTGAGAATTGTTCTCTGCATACTTGTCAGAGTCTTTTCACTTGAACACTGGGGCCTCAGCATCACACTGCCTGAAGTTTGCTTAAAATGCATCTTCACAGAATGCACTTCTCAGAGGTGGTGCCTCAGTAGGGCTTGGGGTGGATCAACGTTTGTAACAAGTTCCCAGGTGAGCTGGCTTCAGGTGGCCGGGTTATGAGGAGGATCAGTGCATCTTAACTCACCGTACCTGGCTGTTCTCACATCTAAAATGAGGGATAGGAATAGTACCACTGAGTTGTTATAAAAGCAGCAGAACAGAGTCTTGCTTGTATTATACACCCAATAAGTGCTAGTTTTTATCTTTATTCAGTGGTGAGTTGAGTTACAAGGTGACCCTACATAACGGAAATTAGAAGGAGTCCATTAGCAGGAGCTCACTGTATTTCTTAAAGGCTCCACTCATTGTTAAATAGTGAAGAATGACGACTCTGGCACAAATGTGAAATGGTGAGCTATTCATGTTCATACACTGACTGGGAATACTATCAAGGTTGCATTGATTGCTTTTCCTCCTGCTTCAATATGGATGTGTTTTAGCACACTGGATAACCTATTTCCAAATAACCAAGAGTTCCATACATTTTGTTAATCATTGTTTCATATAGAGGATAACACTTTCATTGTAAACTGGCTGAAAATATTTGAAAATGTAGCCCATGTTACTAGAGATTCAAATATAATCCTAAAATACTTTGTAGAAATTGAAGGCCTCATAGTTATATTTTTATGTAACATTTTATATTTTTATATTCTTTCAAACCATAATTGGCCTACCAAAAAGGATAACTCCCTGTGAAAACAAGTTTTTCAAATAGTTTTTAGTTTTGAATTATGCAACTAATACACATAAGAATCATCTTAAAGTTGATTAAGTTTAACTTAATAAAGACTTTTAAATGAAAAAATAGTTTGATTTTTTTCAAATGAATATGATAGTTTATATAATGATGGTGGGGAAATGTCAAAATTTTTATCACAGGCATTTTGCTTTAATTCCCCCTTCAGTTAAAAGTATCACATTAGTCTATATTTTTTGTTAGTTGCATTATAAAATTATTTTGTGCAATCTGGGAACAAATTTCTGAATTTATTCAAAAAGATTGCCAGCAAAATTTAAGTATTTCCAAAAAAAATCTCCCAGTTTTTCTTTTGAAAAATTCCGAATTAATAATCAGAGATTTTGAAAACTTACAATTTGGTCCTTTTAAAATGGAATGAAAGCACAATGTTAGGCTTTATTTTATATGTTTTGTAAAAATAAGTTATATTTCTGGATCCAAGTAAGAGTCTCATTTTAACCTGAAGTGACGTCACCTTGGCCCAGTCATGGGACCCTCCCCTCTCAATCTGTTCATCTGTAAAATCATGTTACTATTAGCCTAACCAAACATTTCCTGTGAAATTAAAATGAGATCACACTTAGGAAGGTAACTCTGAAGAAATCCAAGCTTTTTGGAGTTGTTTTCATTATAATACTGGCATCTTCTTGGAACTTCTCAATGAATTTGTTCAAACTGTGACCGCATGGGGATGGAATGTTTGGAGGAGGCATTTAATTTAATTTTATTAGAGAATCCAACCATTGCTGTGTATCCATGGGAATAGCAGAAGCCAAACAATTGGGTAAAATCATCTGTAACACACATGGAAAAGCCAATACAATTGTCCCTTATATCCATGGGGGATTGGTTCCAGGACCCCCACAGAGCCCAAAATCCATGGATGCAAAAGTGTTTGCGTATAATCTGAGTATTTCTTCCCATATGCTTTAAATCATCTTACAATATCCAGTACAATATAAATACTGTAAACATATCATCATATCCGTTGTTTAGGGAATAATGACAAGTCTGCACATGCTCAGTACAGAGACAATTTCCCTTCCCTCAAATATTTTTGATAGTCCATTGATTGAAGCCATGGATACAGAGTATCTGACTGTATACTCAGGAAGGAGTGGTGAATGGAGTTACCTAATCTTTGCTTTTGGGCTCTTGAATGAGGGGACAAGGACAGTGTGATCATTTCTTTGCATCCTATCTGCTAACCATGGCCCTCCTCTTCTCTATTGTGCTGCCTGGCTACAGATCTCACTCCATTGGGTAAGCACCACATGGTGGGTGGGGGTGGGTGGGCTCTGCCAGACACCTGGCAGCTCCCTGGCTTCCCAGAGTCCTCTGTTTCTTTCACACTGTGCCACAATGGAACAAGCTAGATTGTTTTCAAAACCAGGAAAATACGGACTACAGGACACTAATGCATTCGAATTTGTTTAAGCATGTATTTATCTCATCTCTGAATCACACCGATTTCACTTGCTGAGCAATCTCCTGGAAGTCTCTTTTTCTGCATCACTTCTTTCTGTGTTGGCAGAGGTCCATAGAATTCAAAGAATAATAAAAAGGGAAAGTAGAAATTGAGAATTGTATATTTTTGTAAAATGTACAGAAAGGAGAGAAACAGAAAACTATTTTTTCTAGATTATTTTGTTTCTCTGAATTTCTCATAACTTACTTGTGTTGATGTTTCACCTTCAACTTTCTGTATATTCTAGGAAAGCACCTGTGTTAAGATGCTTGCAACTGTCAGTCCCAGGCCCCTGAATTAAGCCTTTTATCAAAAAGAATCTTGTTATAAACTTTTAAAATATTGTTTCCTAATATTTAAGGAGATGAACAGGTTGGAAATGCTGCTGAATTTCTTTGAGAGATACTTTTTAAATTAACTTCTGGGGAACTATTTTGCCTGTAGTTTCTGTATGGAGTGCCTTGGATAAGAATATAAGCATTTCCCGAATTTGTCTTTTTCTTTTTGCATTCTAGTCAAGTGCTGTCCCCAGTAACGACCCTAGCAGATATTGTCAGGGGAGGGTGACAGATTTGAACCATGATCTGTTTGATTCTCGGGAGAAAGGAAAGGAGGGACCCTGTTGAGAAGTGGGATGGGGCGCCAGCCTCAGCCAAGGGAAGTGGACCTCGGTTTCCTTCTTCTCTCTGCCCAGCATTATTTCTGAGTAGAATTCAATAGAAAATGACAGACAAGCAATCAGAGAAGATGAATCAGCTATTATAAAAAATTAAGTGGAGGAGAAAGCTCCCAGGAATGTGTATATTTGTCTGAGATCTTGACAGTTAAATCAAAAGGGAGGTATAAGTCCCTGCTTTTGCCTGCAACTATGTGAGTGGTGTTTGCTAGCATGGGCCTCTTTGAATGTATTTTGCTAACTCTGTGCATTCCTCTGGACAGTTTCTCTGCAGTGCAATGATTAGCTTCTACCTGCCTACCTCTACTGCCTAAGTATTGCTCTTTGCTGTGTACTGTGTTCCTGAGCAGGAGAAGGACCCAGGCTGGGTCTGGAGAGGATGCCCATGGGCTACTGGGTTGACCGGGGGAATATCAGCCAGTCTCAGCTTGCCTAACCTAGGCAGCCTACAGGAAAGAAGCTATTATGCAACAGTAGACCATCAACTTGTATATCCTGGGAAGCTGACCGTGGCCCATAAGACCCAACGACAACAAATATCATCTTGGTTGGGTGGGCAGGGAATATTTCAGATATTTGAAAAGCTGTTGTAGAACTGTTAACAGGGAGTCTCTCATGTACTTACTTTGTGTTCTCTTTTTTTTTCCTTTAATCTACCTTTGCCCTGAAGGTACTCCATTCGCCATTCCATAAGTATGCCTGCTATGAGGTAAAGTGTGTAAAATATTTTCCATCATGTTAATGCAGAATGTGTATAGATTGATATTTGTTCCCCTTCCATTCCTTACATGAAAGAGAATTCCCACTTTGGGTCTCATTTTTAATTGCTCATAGTCTTCAGGAGGAAAAGCTGAGTATCTGTGGAAGTTTAGTGTAAAGGGCTTGGCCCTTTGACCATACCCAGCCTTCTCTGTGTAGTCTGAGACAAAAGGTGTCACTTACTTCTGTCTTCATCCTCTCATCTGAAAATTGCAGGAAATAAAACTACCTCATGTAGTGGTAATTATAAGGCAAAACCAAAATAGCCTATGTAAAATCTTTAGCACAGGGCCTAGAACATTCTGAGTATGTCTGCAAAGGTGAAAATGCATTTCTTATTTTAGCAGACTTAAATGCAAGCCAGGGAGAAAGTTTAAGTGGCAGGGTAGAAGACCACTAGATCTAAGGTTCTAGAAAGCATTTCGTTAGGATGTTTATGCAAGATATATATTGAGGAGAAATGTCTGTTAAACAATAAAATGTCATTAAGATCACTGGCTGGATAAACACTTGTGAGAAAATGTTCTTAGCCTCAAGTCTGCTTGGCTTGGTGATAACAATCAGAGAGAATCAAGCTGGTTGTAATAGAACCTGGGAGAATAAATGTGAGCTTAGGAATCAGAAGAGGCAGGTTGCAGCTCAGCTGTGCCATGGGTTAGCTTTGCAGACTTGGGAAAGTCACCCCAGTGGTATCAGTTTCGTCACATTTAAGACAAGGAAGTAGGACCAGACTTGCTGCTCATTGCAGGTGCTCCTGGAACCCTAGAGCTGCCTAGGCTTCCACTGATAAGGGAAGGAGATCAAGCCTTGGACCTTCCCCCACTTCCATCAGAAATGGTGTTACAAATGCCTCTTCTACTGCTTTATAGTGCACAGTGTGGATGGACTGCATTATAAAGGGGTTCAGTTATTCTAAAGAGTTTGGGACCATGGAAGCCAAATTCTTACTAGGGTCATTTGTTGTGCTAAAAGTTTGTTGTAAATAATATTATTAAATGTAATTAAGTAGTTTTCTCTCTGTTCTCCAGCATGCACTCTAGGGCTATTTAATTAAAAGAATGATCTATTCTGTCAAATTGTCTCTTCTACTCTGGGTTTCTGTGGTTAATTGGTTGACTTAGAAATTTAGCCACAGTGTTTACTTTTCTGTATTTGGTGGTAAATAAGGAGCATAGATACAAGGCTGCTTTGATCATCTTGGAACGACTGTCCCTAGCATAAGAACACCCAATTAAGTAGTGCTGTCTGAGATCCTGAGCTCCTTACTTGTCATGTGTTAGGTCTGATTTCCAAAGAAGGCTTGCAAAAGATCAACATAGTTTTGCTCTGTGAAGCAGGAATTCATTTATTGACTTATGGATCAAATGCAATCCCCATGAGCACATTGAAATTAACTTTGAAAAAATGATTTTATTTATCTAACATATATACCTATGAACCATCAGGCTTAACTGTCTGCCCACCATGTGCCTGGGCAACGATGGCTGAGGCTGTCATGTGAGCAGGCTCAGCCAATAAAACTTGCAGTGGAAGTGAAGGGTCAGTAAGTATATTCTTTTCATGCAAGTGTAATTTGACTGGTATTTCATCACAAAATGGCAGTATTATGAAGGTCTTCTTACAGGAATTTGACTCACATCTGGATCATAGACAAAGTTGAATGCCATTGCCTGGGTTCTCTGAACTCACCATTGTTAGTCCATGAAACCTGAATGCTCCAGGTACATTTCTGACGAGGTAGAGCATCAGAGTTTAAAGAGACAATCTCCCCAAAAGCCAGATCAAAAATGTAGTCTCCCTGTTTGTTCTTTCTGATGGTAGTAGTGCCATGTTTCATCCCATACCATTCAGTGAAATCCATATTATATAGTCATTATCCCTTATGAAGCTTCACCAGGCCCTTCCTCTTATAATTTGCTTTTTCTGCACTCAAGACAGAGCAAGCAGCTATGAAACAGAGTAACATTTAGTTGGTGTTATTTGAGCTGAAAATGATGGCAGTCATTGCTTCTGAAAGCTGACATGAATACAAGATTGCAGATACATCTTTACTTCTGTTTCTGGTCCTTTAGTTGGACTTGGTAATATCACGTTTAATGACAACGATGTCATTGGATTGTAATGTCATTTGGCCATATCCACTGTAGGGAACCAGAAAGCACCACATGAACTATCTACACTCAAAGCCAACAGATAGTATACAGACTGTTTACACAATAAATGAACTGCAAACAAAATGCCAGTACGCTGTGAAGGTTCTCTCTGGGGAGAGCACAGATAGGTTTATCTTCTTTGAAAAGAAAAGTAACGTGTTTGTAACACCATTTTGATCAGGCACCAGATAGGTAATGGGTATATTTCAACTTAAAATAGTGAAGGCATTAACTTCAGAAATACCACATCATGAAAGTTGTCAAAATGATTTCTTTTTAAGGTATGGAAAGAAGAAAACTTGTGAACATTTTATTTTTCCTTGTGGTGTTTCAGTCTTATCTTAGATTCACTGAGTCAATCAACTTTAAAGTTTCAAGTAAGAAAATTCAAATGTGGTATTCTTTAGACAGAAACTGAGTCAGAAAGTAGAATATTGTGACGGAAATGATTAATTGGTAAGTGACAGATTGAGCTATTACTTCTCTGGCATGTTGGAAATAATTTACAGTGCACTGTGGAATTATTATAGTTGTATAATTGCCAAATGCTATATTATTTGTTCCTCAGTCGAGTATCTGATTGTTTTGCTTAGAAAAATTCCACATGAGGTTATGGTTTCTGGACCTACCTAGCTGAAGTGAAATGTATTTTAAAAGACAGTTGTCGTAGGTGGCAAAGTGACAGCTAGCTCTGGTGCAGAGGCAATGTTTATAAACAAGAGCAGAAAACCAAACAACACGGTTGCTAAGATAGCTAGGTCTTTGGAGCTGACCTCTCTTTTCTTGTTATTTTAGGAATTCTCCTACTTTCAAATCATTTGAGGAGAGGGTTGAGACAACTGTCACAAGCCTTAAGGTACAGATGAAGTGAATTTTGTGTGATTGGGTCCACTGAACCAGGACAGGGTAGCCAATTGTTGCATAAGTTTGCAAGGCAAGGCAGGACCACCAGCATTCAATGCAGCCAAGAAGGCAGCTGGGCATGAAGTCAGATCATTTCATGCATATATCAATCTATAAAAAACCAGAGTTGAATCGTGTGCCCTTAGGGTTGTTGTATAAACCATAAAGAGAGTGAGAGGCCCTGTTGTAGATTCTTGATAGAATATTTAGGATCAAAACAAAAAGCTCAAAAACCCTAGGAATCAGTGTCTTGATCTTTGGTTTTCAGCCATAGGCATTCCAAGAAGGATGGATTCTGTTGCTTGTTAGTCAAGTTCTGACATAGGAGAAGTTGTACTTTTTAGGTTGTCTTTAGAAGAAGGAGATATGAAGAAGCGAAAGAAGAATAAAGAGCAACCTATTTTCCTTTGCTTTTAGGAAACTGGTAAGCTCATAGCGTATGGTGTAAGTGTTTGATCCACACTCTGAGCTGCTCCCTTTTCTCACCTCACCGGGATGGAAGGTATAGAGTCTGTCTCTTCCTTCAGATACGCACGTAACTAACTCAGCCCAGAGGACACTATCCTGTGTCAAGACTTCCTGAAAGTGGATTCTATGCTCATCTGATAGCCCGTAGGCTTAGCAAGACTCACACCCCACAAATCTCCTATCTCATGACCAGTGTCTAATTTCTCTTTTTCTGCCTGCCCAGGCAATGGAGCATAGCTGATAACCATGCTTTGTGTTTGCTTCCCCTTCCTCAGGAGTGACAAATTCCTCATTTCTTTGTTCTTCTCAAGAATAAATAACAGATACAAAGGTATTTCAAAAAGTTCATGGAAAATGGAGTTTAAAAATAAGCTTATTTTGGTGTAATACATTTTGAAATCTATGCATTCATGGGATATTCAAAATTTTGTGGAAAATGTGTATTATGGAAAAAAATGCATGGACTTCAATATTTTTGCACCAAAATAAACTTATCTTTGAATTCCCTTTCCTGTAAATTTTTGAATTCCTCTCACTGATTAACCCTTCTTTATACCCCTTATTTTCTGCGAAGATTGCTTTTGTGTACTAACTCTTCCCCCAGATTCCCGTATCATTCTTGGGTCATGGATCGTGAGGTTATTTTCTGACTCATGAATCAGTAGGAGTGAGTGGAATGCCTGCCAGGTCTCCACGGTGTGCTTCCGTCTGCAGTCCTTCTGCAAGCTTGGTTGTTCTAATGCCACTGACAGAGACTGACGTCCATGTTTATTTTCTTTGAGAATTGTTCAGCTGTGAAGAGAAGCCCACTCCTGCCATCTCCTCACATGGCTGTCATGTACCATGTGGCACTTCTGCCAAACCTGTTGCTCTTTATACCAAATCTGTAGTTCGAATTTCCATGAGACAGTTTCTAATATATCATAGTCTAATAATATTTATCCCTGCCCACATCCTTCCAATTGATTACTTATGTCACCTCAGCTGATACCACCTGTATGGTCAATATGCATCCTTTCTATTTCATCCAAAATGTGCAAATAAGCAGGTGTGGAACCAGTGGTCATGAAGGTGCATTTGGCATATTCAACCATGTTCCAGTGAATCATGATAACTGCATAGTCAAGTGGATCATACTTTTATTTTACCTCCTTTCGAATGAATGCATTCCATGGCCTGAATCTAAACTCTTTTAAAAAGGACACAATATGTTCTGTTTTATATTTCTTTGTGTTCTGTCAACCAGCTATTTTATTATGAAAAAAGAGGAAGCCCAACCGGATAATTCGAATGAAATTTTATGCCAAAAGCAAGTATAGTTTTGGCAACAGAGTGACACATTCTTGAATAAGAAGCCATTATGAAAGAAAGGGTCCAGCAGAGGTTTATTGTGCACATCTTGTCTTCAGCAGGTGAAGTCATTAAACTCATGATTGGGATGAGTGTTTGCCCAGTGGTTAAGTTGCCATTTAGGATACCCAGTTAGGAAGTCTGTGTCCCATATTGGAGTTCCTGGGTTTAATTCCTAGCTCCAACTCTTGATTCCAGCTTCTATTAATGTGGACCCTGGGAACAACAGTGATGCTCAAATAGTTGAGACCTGGATTGAGTGCCTGGTTCTTGGCTTCTGTCCAATCCAAGCCATTGTGGCATTTGGGTAGTGAACCAACAATTGGTAGTTTGTTCTCTCTCTCAAATAAATTTTAATTTTAAAAATCCACATAATTAAGAACCTCCTTTGTCCCATCCCTGGTTTGCCAAATTGATTTCTTTCAAAGCAGTTCCTTCCTCCTTTTTTTACTATTCTGATGCAAGAATATCAAGAAGTAGGAGAGAAGAATGAAACAAAGCCCAAAAGGAAATATCAGTAATCAGTATTCATGATTCAATACTGCCTGTGACTTCTGTGAAACATAAGCCGAAGAAAATGTGAATGGAAATTTTTAAAAACAGGAAAATGGAACTATTAATAGAGTAGATTACATTAAATTCATCTTATTTATGGCTCTCAGCAAAGAAATAAGCATTTCTTTGAATAATCACAGTTGAAGGCATCTCCCCCACACTCTACCCCTTCCCAGTGCTGAGGGAACACAGTGGAAGAATCAGTGCTGTGTGCCAGACGTCCACAAACCTATAGGCTACACCCAACTAGTCACCTGCTCTTGAATGACCTTTAAGCTAAGGATGGTTTTACACTTTTTAATGGTTGAAGAAAATCAAAATATTTCGTGACATGTGAAAATTGAATTGCACGGTAGTGTGATTTATTAGACCATATATAAGGTCTAATGGAAACCCAGTCATGCTTGCTCACTTACATAGCGTCCACCCCGCTTTCCACAGCAGCTGATCTGAGTATGTGTGACAGACTCTATGTGGCTCCCAAGCAATGTGGGGGGAAAAATTAGTTTAGTAATTGAATTTAAGAGACAGAGAGGGGTATTTTAGTGACTATTGGAAAATAAAGTGTTTTCTCTTTTACAACGATGGGGCTGCCTACTGAAGTCTGCAGAAGTGCAGGTCCGGCAGCTGGATCCTGTCCTAGCGTTGTTCATGTGCCTGTGAGCAGTCACTTCGATGTGGATATCAGTTCTCTGATTTCACCGTTACCTATTTCATAGCTTACTTTTCCACAGTGTTTTTCCACATTGGTTAGAAGTGGTTGAGGGAAGACCAGTGGCATTGATAAGACTTGCATGAAACATTTTGGACCATTCAATTTTCTTCTGAAAGGCTTAAAAAAGATTGATAGATTGTTTGATTGATTTGAGAGGAAGAGAGATCTTTCATCCACTGGTTCGCTTCCCAACTGCCCACAACAGTCCAAGATAGGCCAGACTACATTGAGGTCTCCCACATGAGTGGCAGAACCCCAAGTACTGGGGCCATCATGAACTAGCTCCGATGTGCATTAAGAGGAAGGTAGATTGGAAGCAGAGCAAGTGGGACTCGAGTCAGGCACACTCGTATGGGGTTCTGACATCCCAAGCTTTGGCATAACCTGCTGTACCACAACACCTGGCCTCTGAAGGGCTTTGTTAGGGAAATTTTTAAAACATTTAACCATATATATTTTTAAATTGATTTGAGAGGCAAAGAGACAGAGAGGGAGAAAGAGAGAGATTGGTTTACTCCCCAAATACCCACAACAGCCAGGCCTGGACCACCCTGAAGCTGGGAGCCAGGAACTTAATCTTGGTCTGCTATCACTGCTGCCTTTTAGAGTTCTCATTACCAGAAAGCTGGAATTGAGAACAGAGCTGACACTCAACCCCAGTCACTCTGATAGGCCATGTGGGCACCCAAATGGCATCTAAACTGCTGTGTCTAACGCATACCCCTTCTTTCACCTATTGACATCATTTCATTACTTTTTAAGCATTTGTATTTGAAAAGACAAACACTTGGGGTCGTCATGGTGGCATAGTGGGTAAAGCCACTGCCTGCGAAGCTGGCATTCCAAATGGGCATCAGTTGTAATCCCAGCTTCTCCATTTCCAAGCCAGCTCCCTGTTAATGCACCTGGGAAAGCAGAAAAAGATGGGCCCCTGCATTCACATAGAAAACCCAGATAAAGCCCCTGGTCCTGGCCTAGCCTTGGCCATTGCAGCCATTTGGAGAGTGAACACGTGGGTGGAAGATCTCTCTCTGACTCTCCTCCTCTCTGTCTTTCAAATAAATAAAAATTTTAAAAGAAAACCTATGTGATAACCTTTTATTTATTAAAAAAAGAAAAAACACTTAAAACCATGCATAAACCAATGCATAGCATATTGAGTTATTAGAACAATATCCCCTTAACCATATTTATAAATTATAAGTGGACTTCTTAGTGTTTCTAATCTTTGTTAATAGCAAGAACCCAAAGAGAGCCTCAAAAAACGTTCTAACATTGCCTTGTAAGAGATGTTACTGAAGGGAACTGCCTAGAAACATTGAAACTAGCAGTACTTCAGACTTGATCCAACCCCAACCCTCAAAGCAGGCACCAGGAATCGTGTTCTGTGGAGCCGCTCTGCTGTTTCATGAGACATTTGTCAGAAATCTGGATTGCTCCGCTAAATCCCAATTAGAAAATTTAAGGTTAAGAGACCTTAGGACACTTACACATTTATGAAGTACCTTTTTGATGAGACTTACATGCCAGTTTGAGGAAGTCAGTTCTGTGGGTGTGTGTTGGGGATAGATTTTACCAAGTCCACAGGTCTGATAACGCTCCCAAAAGGATTAGACTCTTAGATGTAGATGGGCTAAGGAGAGCCTTGACAAAAGTGAAAGTTGGAATCCTAGCCCAGAACCCACGTAGGAATGTCATGCTGGCACTCTGCTAAAGGCAACTAACATCTCTACCTCCTTCACTTGCCTCTGAAGATGCGAAGTGTTTCTGAATTCCATAGTAATCACAAGTTTGGCAATCTTTTCTTAAAAAAAAAAAAGTTACAACGATGACAAGCAACTTTTAACTGCATGTTTGTATATCTGCCCATTTCAGACGAAAGTAGGCGGGATGAACCACAGCGGAGGCAGTTTTGAGGAGGTCCTCAGCTCCACGGCCCATGCCAGTGCCCAGAGCTCAGCGGGGGGGCCCCTGCGGGCCGAGGAGGAGGAGCTGCAGTGCTAGGTGCAGCCAGCTGGAGCAGCCTGCGGCCACATCCAGAAGCCCCCGCACCGCCCAGCCCAGCTCTGCCTGTGCAGATCCAGAAATGAAGACCAAAACCCCACTGGGAAAAGCTGGGGTCTTCACGCTATTATTCAAATGGCCTCTCCAGAAAGTTTAATAAAATGATTTCCATTTGTGTGTGTATTGATGATGAACCCACTTGACCAGCACGCTTGAGTATTCGTAGATTGTCAACATGTCTCAACATGCACAGGCACACAATTGGTCAAAATTCTTGTCTGTGTAATTCAATGTGTTTTTCCCAAACATGTAGCTCCTAGATATTTGCTTTGAGTTGTGCGTGGCCACCTTTGAGCATGGCCCTGATGGCTGAGGGAACAGTCCCTTTCTGTTCCTTTTCATGACTGTCTCCGGCAGCAGCAGGACTTCCTGCAAATTTCATCCACTGCTTGTGACCTTCCTCACCTACATCAACTATGTGTTTATTTAAACAATTAAAATAACTGATTTTGATGGTGATTTGGTATTTCGTAATTTCTTGGAGTCTTCAGGGCTATTGATGACCTTAAACGTGTGTAGCTATGATTCTATGGGTGTTGTTTTTAAACCTGCTAATTTGATGAATGTGAGGATACGATAATAATTATAGCCTTAGTTACCCCAGGGTTATCTGAATAATCTCCCCGTCCAGCACTGATGTTTGAAAAGGGGATTCATAAAAATGAGAGCTAGCAGAGGCTGGCAGCCCTTTCCATGGTTCTATTCATGTGCTTGGGTTTCTGCAGTCACTTTTACCTTCTACATTAGATGGAGGGGTCTTCATAAAGTTCACGGAAAATGCTTATGATTAAAAAAAGCTATCCATGGATTCAAAATTTTTTGCACCAAGGTAAGTTTCCTGGTGTGCTTTTCTTCTTCTAAATGGCAACATACATTTATTACTAAGTAGCAATGACACAGCTTCAGATAACATTTATAAAATGCACACTTGAATAGGCCTATTAACTAAAAAAATCACATTTTAGAAACTCCCATACTATGTGTATTTGTTAGGTTTTTGTACTTATTATAGATGACATAGCAAAATTAAGCCAGTCTGAAAAAATTCCATTCAAATTAATGGAATATGTCAGTCAGTCCAGCCTGTACACTCAACTGACAGTCAAGCTGGATCAGGGCCATGTGATGTTCAGAGGCCTAGATCTTAGTCTCTATTCCCTAAAAGGGCAGATGACAATAGACCTGAATCAGTGGACACATGCAGAGAAAGAAGCCCTTCCACAAGGAGTGTGGGCATTCTCCCCAGTTTGTCCATCCAGCCTGCTGGCTGAAGTCATGGCCCTTTGGGCAGGAAGCCAGCCCTGTCCACCTGGCCTGGAGGCTGTGCTGGCTCTCCCACTGCAGCATGCAGCTACACAGTCTCTGTGCCCAGTACCCGGTCGCCTGGTGAGTTCAACTTGTGTGACCTTCCACTGGCACTTCTTTTTTTAAACTGCATTCAGTGTACTGCATTATATTAGAGTTGTACTACAGCCAAGTATCTTCATTAGCCAAGCTACTCCTGCACATAATGGTCTGATCCTTATAAACTGAAAACACAGTGTTAACACTGGGAAGAAAAACAAAGTTAGTGTTAATATCTCACAACTTCTAATCCATTTTAGCTGCCCATTAATCCCTAAAAATTCTAATTTAATCAATTTGATAAGCACTATTCACATCTCTATTAACCTAAACACTTGTATTATTCTGAATAATCTCTGTGTCCCAGGACTAATATTCATAGTGGTCATGATTAGGAATAGCCTTTTTTCATTTGATATATGTGAAGAAGGGGCCATTAGTGTGGCACTGTGGGTTAAACTGCCACCTGGGATGCTAGCATTCTGTATCAGAGTAGAAGTTCAAGTGCTGGCTACTCCACTTCAGATCCAACTCTGTACTAGTGCACCTGGGAAGCAGCAGCTGATGGTTCAGGCACTTGAGTTCCTGCCACCCATGTGGGAGATTTCTAAATGGAGTCCTGGTCCATGGCTTCAGACTGGCCCAATCCTAGCTGTTGCAGTCTTTTGGGAAGTAAACCAACAAATGGAAGCTCTCTCTGATGCTCTGCCTTTTAAATAAATAAATACATCTTTTAAAAAACAGTGTGACTATGCCAGATGTCTCAAATTAGAACCATCAACTCAGTTGTTGGTGGGTGAGCAATATTAGCCTATCAACTGTTGGCAGGTGAGTGGTCTCACCAGGGTTAGGGAGAGAGCCCAACCTCAGTCTGCCTCATCACTCAAGAGCTGCCTGCTTCTCACACACTTTGCCTGTGCAAACTCCTCATCTGATTGGCTGCCAAATTTCTCAGTCATGTCTAGCTGGTTCAGTTTCAGTTCACAAGCAGTAACTTACCAAGTGTTTCACAATTGCTAACAAAATAGTTGCATTCAATACACATAATACAAAATTACTTCAAGTCAACACTACGTATATGAAAGGATACCTCAACCAAAACCATATTTTAGTCATTAGAAATTCCAATGTGAATTAAGACTACAAAATAAACTGGCTTTTAAAAGAAGGTTGCCATTCTGGAATTTAACCATTGAACATTTTATTTTTTATTTTTTTAAAAGATTTATTTATTTATTTGAAAGAGTTAAACAGAAGGAGAGGCAGAGAGAGAAAGGTCTTCCATCTGCTGGTTCACTCCCCAGTAGGCATCAATGTTTGGAGCTGTGCCAATCTGAAGCCAAGAGCCAGAGCTTCTGGGTCTCCCATGTGGGTGCAGGGGCCCAAGGACTTGGGCCATCTTCCACTGCTTTCCCAGGCCATAGCAGAGAGCTGGATCAGAAGTGGAGCAGCCGGTCTCGACCCAGCGCCCATATGGGATGCCAGCACTGCAGGCAGCAGCTTTACCTGCTGTGCCACAGTGCCGGCTCCACCATTGAACACTTTAAATACCATTGCTATATGGAAAATATTTGTAAATTTACAATGTAACTTTAATTTTTTTAAAGATTTATTTGAAAGGCAGTTACAGAGAAGCAGAGGCAGAAAGAGAGAGAGAGATCGATCGATCGATCTTACATCTAGTTCACTAGTTCTTACATCTGGTTCACTCCCTGGATGGCCACAATGGCTGGAGCTGGGCCAATCCAAAGCCAGGAGCCTCTCGCTTCCAGGTCTCTTACATAGGTGCAGGGACCCAAGGACTTGGGCCATCTTCTGCTTCTTGCTGCTCTCTCAGGCCATAGCAGAGAGCTTGATTGGAAGTGAAGCAGCTAGGACGCGAACTGGCACCCATATGAGATGCCGACACCACAGGTATCTACCACGCATATCTCCTAAGATTTTGACCATCGTTAGGTCGTGCCAGCAAGGCAATCTGCATCTTAGGTTAAATTACATATGTTGTTAGAGATCTTCTCATGAAAGACATAAAGCAGAAAAAAAAAATGCCTGTTTTATTGTAGCTGTGCCATGCCATCCATAGTGACCAACGTGGAGAAAAACTGGGGGACACAAGAAGCTCTTCTGTCATTGTTCATTGTTCCAAATCACCTGGTGCCTAAGGCAGTGAACTTCAACTCCCCTTCTTACTTTGCAACCAAAACTGCAAACCGGAGTGCAAGTGGGTTTAGCCAAGGGAGACAGCAGTAAGGGTAAGCAGTGATTTAATATGAAGTGTGATAACAATCTTCTTCAAACCTGGAGTTCAAGTACAATTCCAAGCTATGATATTTGGCAAAACCTTATGGTTACTTTTGATATTCACTGAGAATGGTATAATTACTTACCTACATTTCTACTTGACTTTCAGGTCATATTTTAGGGTGCACCTGCGTGATGGAGGGCAACCAAAAATAATATAAACTTAAGTCTTCTGCAGAAATCATGCCCCTTCACTGCCAAATACGAAGAGTGGCAAGTCACTTAGAGAAAAATACAGAGGCTGCTTTCTCACAAAGCAACAGTCATTTATCCCACAGTGTGGATCCTCACCACCAGTTTTGCAGTGGATCAATATTTTTCAAATAGGAGGACACTGAGAATTGTGTCATAGCCAGTGGGATGCCAGTCTACAGGGGTAAAACAGCAACAAAGAATTCATTTCTGTTCTGCTCAATCCAAGAATTACTTTGCATCAAAATTATAGGACTTAGTTTTTAGATGCCCAATGCCAGGCAAGCATCTGCCAGGAAAAGTACCTTTAGGTAACAAGGTTCAAATATGTATAGATATTTCTGGTGGCTTCAATAGCTATCATTGATCTTCATTTTGCTCTTTTTTTTTTATTTTTATCTGTTTGAAAGGCATAGTGACACACACACACACACACACACACACACAATCTTCCACCCATTGGTTCTCTCCCCAGGTGCCCACAACAGGCAGTACTAGACTAGGCAGAAGCCAGGAGCTAGGAACCCCTGCTGGGTCTCCCCTGTGGGTGGCAGGGATCCAACTACTTGAGCCATCATTGCTGCCTCTCAGGATGCACACAAGCAGGAAGCTGGATGGGGAGGCAGGATTTGATCTAGGCACTCTGATAGGGGAAACTGGTGTCCCAAGTGGTGGCTTAACCCACTGTGCCACAACACCTGTAGTTTTCTTGTTAAATGGGATTTATTGCACTATTACATTTTTTTTAACCAATTACTCAGGAGAGAAAGTTCGGGACTGTGAACCCACACTTGGCAGGTAACTGAGAGGCTGAGGTAATGATGAAGTCGCCAGGTGAACTCTGGCCCAGCAGAGGTTTCTAGAGTCTGCGTGAAATATGTTGGTAACTTATGCAAATGATGGCAGGTAAAACATTTAAAATATAACTCTAGGACCACAGAAATTTGTTTATAAATAATTGACCTTTATCTGGGATTATTTGGGGTGCATGCTTTCATACCAGGAGAGACCCCCAACAGTACTGATGGAGTTGTTTCCCTACTAACCTTGTCTCCAATGCTGATCAGTCTGAACTCTTCCTGCTTTTCAACGCAGAGCAACTCTGCGTACCCATGGGTGTTGCTACTGAGATCAGGCACCTTGCTTCCTGCCGACTGGGTATCCATGGATACTGCAGAGTTTCCAAAGAAACGCTGCCTAGAATTTTCACCATGCCAGCCTCAAAGGCCTTCTTCAAATGGAAACTGACATGTGAATTAAAGGGACAGGCATCCGTTCCTTACCATGGCACACGGCAGGTTTGCATGGGTGGTCTTTTCTCCCGCTCTAGTGGATGCTTGTGCATCATTTAAACACAAGCAAGCGTGGATTACTTATTTTGAGAAAGGGAAACTAGGAGAACAAACTAGGTTGATGGATTTCTTCTAAGGCTTAGAGACTCCAGCAATACTCTTCCTTTTCTGTATATCTTACCTGGTAATAAATGTTCTTATTATCAAGGACTCAAGATTTATAATTCAGACAGAGAAAAATACATAGGGAATCACAACTGGCATTTGAAATTGTATGCCCTGATTTATATCCCCAAATGACAAAAAGAGGGAAGGGGTAGGGGCTGGGCCTGTTAGCAGGTTTCTAAGTCTATGATCAGGACTTGAAGCAGGACACAATGAAAGTCAAAGTCAGGGGGCCAGCGCTGTAGCACCACGGGTTAAGCCACGGCTTGCAGTTCCAGCATCCATTATGGTTCGAGTCCCAGCTGCTCCACTTCCCATCCAGCTCCCTGATAATGAACCTGGGAAAGCAGCTGAAGATGACCCAAGTGCTTGGACCCCTGCACCCATATGGGAGACCCGGAAAAAGCTCCTGGCTCCTGCTTTGGATTGGTCCAGCTCCAGCCGTTGCAGCCATTTGGGGATTGAATCAGCAGATGGAAGATCTGTCTGTCTCTCCCTCTCTCTGTAATTCTGCCTTTCAAATAAATAAATCTTTAAAAAAAATTCAAAGTCAGGCAGGAAACAGGGATCGTCTGAATAAGGCAGCACTTCTCTGAGGAAAGACTGCATTATTAACATTCCTTTCTGGATCCTTATCACTAAGCTCCATATTCTAAACAGCAATCATGATTAAATTTTCTATCACTTGGGCCTTCAGGGAGGTAGTCAGAATAAGATGACTTAAAATCCCCGATAAATACTGCAAAGTTTTAGGTGTTTATTATTTATTTAGTTAGTCCATTAAAACAGCACTGTCCATCCAGTCTTCAGGCAGGCAGCGTGTTTTCATGGCCACTTTCTCTTCTGAGGCAACTTTGAGTGCCCAAATCACATCACATTTCTTGCTGATGTCCAGACAACTGAAAATATGTGGGCTTGCGATGGAGGAAATCAACACAGCAACACTGGCAAAACACAATCCCATGAAATGGAAAACTACAAGTCTGTCTCAGGAGGGCGGCCATGTGGAGAGCATCTTAGGGGGGCAGCTCACTGTCAGCTGCAGCTATGTTCGCGTTTCTTTCTGCCTCAAGTTCAGAAACAAGTTGGACAATCTCAGGGTGAGTGAATTTTCCTGCAAAGCAAAAAGACATCACCATATTGACAAGAGAATGCGTTCATTCCCCCAGCTGGCTCCCAGGGTTTAGCACATGCTTTTCTCTCTGAGCTGGTCTGCATACTTCACTCCAAAGCAAAGGATCCCAGGTCCTGTAAGGGGCCAAAGAGGACTACTCGGAGTTTTATCCACTGTCACTGCAGGTGCCACTCCGGGAGAATGTAAGGGTGAGACTCAGACAAAGAATCGTCAGTTAGGCAGAGAAGCTCGGCCCATTCTGCACCTGCAATTCATCAAGGGGGACTGCCAGTAGGACCAGGGCTTCCAGGCTAGGCAGGATGTAAACAAGAAAGCAGACATCTCTCTTACAGACACTTCTGCTGGCTGACGTGTGCTGTCGTCAGAGTCTGCAGCTCTCCCCAGACTCCTGCCCTGCATAGCCACCAAGCTCCAGGTTACTACAGGAAGGTGGTGGCTAACACAGGGGACTGTCGAACCCTGGCAGCATCTCCTCCCCACTGTCGTTTCCTGCCTGCGCCAGTGGTTGCTTACTGTTCCTTCTGAATTAAATTCTCTTCCACTCATTCTCCACCCTCCACGTCTTCTCTGAACAGTCCTTTCCCTTGCTTGCCCTGAGCACATGGCTTCCCTATGGCCCAGCTGTCTCACACAAACCTTTCCATGGACCTGGGCCTGTCCTCCTAGGCTCCTGGCTGCTGCTTCCAAGCTGTCCTCAGCCCCACAGGGCAGAGGTCATCCTGTAGATCACACCACTCTCTGTCCTTCCAGGTTGCCATCACTAACAGCACTGGAGGCCACTCTTGCCTGCAAAATGACAGTGTCTGCTTCAGTGCCACCCTCCCTAATGCTGGGCTTCAGTGCTCTCTCCAATGACCCTTCTGAGAGCCTGGCCATGAACTCCTCTCCCAGAAGAATCCTCTGCTCCTGGGCGGCAGCCACGTCCTCCCGCAGGCACCCCTGGGATCCGTCACTGGCAACGACGTGGTAAGGATGAGCTGTCCCTGCTGCCAAGGCCGTTCCCCACTGCGCACTGTGCATCAGGTTCCACCCCAGCAGTTCTTGCCCCTTGACTATTGTCATTCACATAGAAACACGCTCGTTTTTATCTCCCATCTTACAAGCAAACAAGCCTTCCTTTGACCATGCATCTCGCTTTGGCTTACTCTGCTTGTCTACTCCTCTATAAGTAAATTTTCAAAAGGAGAGTTTTACTGTAACTCTCATTCCTTTTAATAATAATAATAAATATATATATATGTATATATATTTGCCGAGTCATTTCAAAGGCAGAGAGACACACAGAAAGAGAGACACATAAACAGATCTTCTATCTGATGGTTCTTTCTCCAACTTCTAAAACAGCTAAGGCTGGGTCACGCTGAAGCCAGGAGCCTGGCACTCAATCCTGGCCTCTCATGTGGGTAGCAGGGACTCAATGAGTTGAGTCATCACCTGCTTCCTTTCAGGGTAGGCACTGGCAGGAAGCTGGAACAGGAAGCAGAGGTGGGCTTGAACCCAGGCATTCTCATATGCAAGGAGGTGTCCCAAGCAGCATCTTAAACACTGCACCAAACACCTGGGCCTTTCCGAATTCTTCTACACCCTCAATTAGGCTTCTGCTACCACTATTTCATTGAGACTGCTCTGACAGGGAGCACCCATTGCCTCCATGTTGATAAATCTGATGGTTACTCTCTCCGTCTTGAAACACCTTCTTCCCTTGGCTTCTCAGACCCCTGATTCTCTTCCCTCACCGGCCCCCAGTCTGGTCACAACTCCACTCTTCTAGGAGCTCAGCCACAGTCCTTGGGACTCCTCTCTCAGATGCCCCACATGCAATCCCTCAGCAAGTCCTGAGAACCCTTATTCAGAACTGATCAGCACCTGGCCATTCCTTATTCCCTTTCCCACTGCCACCCTGGTTCAAGCCACCATCATTTCCGGCTTGGTCACTGCAGTAGTCTCTGCTTCCAGCCCACATGCCTTTCCCAACACAAATCAGACCACACTGCTCCTGGGCGCCATGTCCTCCCAGGGTTCCCAGTCTCCCTCAGGGCACAAAGCAAGGTCTGACACAGGCCTGCCAGCTGCCAGTGCCTGGGCCCACGAGTCACTTTTCCAGACTCATCTCCCTCCCTGCCCTGGTGCAGCCCCACCAGGCAGGGCCTCTGTGCTGCTCTTCAGCACACAAAGTTTCAGAGCACAAAGACAGAAAAACAGCTGTGAAGTGAGTTAGACAAAACTCTGTCGTTGAACTAGAACTGTCAGGTCCCCTTCGAAATTCTCATAAACAGGCACAGTCTACGTAGGTCTTCAACTTGGTTAAACCTTTCTCCAAGCATGAGTCATTGAGGTAATTGAAAAAGGTATTTCGCAAAGCTCTGACATACTTTTTATGTATAAATTTTTTAATAGAAGCAGTGCACCGGTCTCCCCCCAGCCGCACTGTCACCTCACAACCCTTTCTGGGTTCCAGTCTCTTCCTCAGTATAAACTCGGAGACTCTTCCAGCTCACACTTGTGTTGATTTTTCTAGTATTCATTCTCAGTTTCCACTTCCTATTTTTCACTGTGAGTGTATTGCAAGCGAAGCTACCAGTGTGTCAAACACAAACAAAGAAGCACATAAACGTGACTTCTATTTTAGTGAGATAGACCTGGTCTGCAAGGAGCCAGCGAGTCAATACTGGGTTATTTGGGCTACACATTCTCTGCAGTAACCCAGTTCTGCTGTCACAGCACAAAAGCAGCACAGCCCATGCACAAAGAACGGGTGTGGCTACAGCTCAATAAAACGTCACTCAAGCAACCAGGCAGCAAGCCCCGCTCTGCTGACCTCTGGTTTCTAACATTGTTCTAGTTAACTGAAGTTAACATTTTCGGAGGACTGCCTGCATTAGGGCCTTTCAGCGGCTTACTATGGTGAGGGTAAACAAGTAGAGGCTTGGGGAGAGAACCCACAAGGCACATCATGAAGTGGAATGCAAGCCAGACTGGGAGAGAGCGGCAAGCTCCAGACACAGTGCAGACTGAGCACAAGGAAGGGAACACTGCATTCTGACGGGGAGGAATAGGAAAGGAGACAAGAGAGGTGGGTGGCCTTAGACTCCAAGGCTTTTTAGGCCACTCAGAAGCAACAGGGTTTTATTTCTTTAGAGAAAGAAAAGCCACAAGAGTATTAAAAATAAACATGTGCTGAGACTTCTCTCTACAAAGGAGGACGAACAGTGAGTCTTGCAGAAAGAACTCAAAAACCCCCGGGCAGAGGTTATAGCAACAGGACAACCCAGAAACCACGAGGGCTTTATCTAGGGCAGGGGCAGTGGAGCTGGAGAAAGAGAAAAGAAAGTGAATCAAGGTCGTTCTCATGCAAATCACATCTCAGGGCACAGAGTATAAGCTAGGGCCTTCCTCTGGTGAGGCCATGTGAGAGGTCAGATATCGCCAAGTGCTCTCAGGGGCCATGGAAACAGAGCTGAACCAACCCTGGACTTGAGACCACTGCTGTGGCACAGAGGGTTAAAGCCCCAGCCTGCAGCACTGGCATCCCATATGGTTGCCAGTTCAAGTCCCTGCTAATGCGCCTTGGAAAGCACTGGAAGATGCTCCAAGTGCTTGGGCTCCTGCACCCATGTGGGTGGCCCCAAAGAAGCTCCTGGCTTTGGACTGGCTCAGCTCCAACCATTGAGGCCATTTAGGGATTGAACCAGCAGACGGAAGACCTGTGTGTGTGTGTGTGTGTGTGTGTGTGTGTGTCTCTACCTCTCTCTGTAACTCTGTCTTTCAAATAAATAAAATCAATCTTAAAAAAAAAAAACCCACTGAGTATTATGATCCCCAATTTTCAGAGAAGGAAATGGAGACTGCCCAGGGGCTCACAGAAGCAGGTTTTCCTAACATAACATTAGTCACTGAACTAAGTCAACCACACTACGAGGGGTTCTTGTTGAAAACAGTGTTAAGTACCTGCTGTGGAATCGTAGAAGTCTTGCAGTCTCCCGGGTTTGTTCTCCAGATCTTCGTATTCAGATGCCTGAAGAATCATCTCACACTGGTCCAGCTGCTTCACGAATTTAGCTTCTGCGCTGGCTTGGGTCTCATACTCCTAAGGAGGGGGACGATCAGAGCAGCGTGATGGGGTACTGGATTCCCGCAGAATTCTGACTCTGTTCGTACCCGAAGGCACAGTCACAGCTAAAAGCACATTCTGTACAGACTTGCTTCTGTGACCTCACAGCTCAGCACCAGGACCACAGGCACGAAGGATGTGTGCACCACTCCACCCACTCCACTGGGCGCCTTGGTCTCATTTGCTCACCTTAGCGACTACCAAGCTCTTTTGTTTGTGATGAACAGCCTGTCTTCACCTCAAGATCATTCTTCTTTTTTTATTATTATTATTTGACAGGTAGAGTCATAGACAGTGAGAGAGAGAGAGACAGAGAGAAAGGTCTTCCTTCCGTTGGTTCACTCCCCAAAGGGCCGCTACAGCTGGCGCGCTGTGCCGATCCAAAGCCAGGAGCCAGGAGCTTCTTCCTGGTCTCCCATGCAGGTACAGGGCCCAAGCACTTGGGCCATCCTCCACTGCTATCCCAGGCCACAGCAGAGAGCTGGACTGGAAGAGGAGCAACCGGGACTAGAACCTGGTGCCCATATGGGATGCTGGCGCCACAGGTGGAGGATTAACTAAGTGAGCCATGGCGCCAGTCTCAATCATTCTTCTTTTCTTTAAAATTATTTATTTACTTCAAAGTCGGTTATATAGAGAGGGAGAGGTAGAGAGAGAGAGAGACAGAGACAGAGACAGAGAAATCTTCCACCTGCCGGTTCACTACTCAGATGACTGCATGGCTGGGGCTGGGCCAAGCCAAAGTCAGGAGCTGTGAGCTACATCACACAACCACAAATTCTAACACATACCTTATAGAGCCACTCTTCTATTAAGACTTAAGTGCTGAGGGCTGACATTGAGGCACAGTGGGTTAAGATGCTGCCTGCAACCCGGCATCCCACACGAACACCAGCTCAAGCCTTGGCGTCTTCACTTCTGATCCAGCTCCCTGCTAATGGCCTGGGAAAGCAGCAGCAGATGTCCCAAGTGCTTGGTCCCCTGCACCCACATGGGAGACACAGATGGAGTTCCAGACTCCTGGCTTTGGTATCACTAGCTCAGACCACTGCAGCTATTTGGGGAGGTAACCAGTGGACAGAAGACCTCTCTCTCTCTAACTCTGACTTTCAAATAAAATAAATAAATCAGGTCTCCCGGTACTTTGTAATTCTACCCTAGATGTGTTCAGATCATAAAGATGTCATATTCTTGGGCAGGGTGTCGTGGCAGGAATCACTGAGAGCTTTCTGGGTTTTTATTAGATGCCTACTCATACAAAGGCAGCTATTTGGATCTGACACAGCTGAATACTATGCAGGGGAACCATTTCAATATGAAAACAAATACACTTTGTTTCATCTCAAAGGCACTTAAAATAATTGCATTTAAGTGCTCATTCAGTCGTGGTTATATATTTACATTTGAAAAATGCAAGTTCATGAATTTAACAAAGGAAATGGAGTACTCAAAGCACAGCAGTCTAGAATTTTTTTTTTCTGTTGAAAACTGAAAGTGAGAAAAAGATTTCAAGACAATTAGGAAATACATTTTACAAATCCTGGTAAACTTACAGATGTACTTAAAACAATGTAAACTGTTGGAGTTTTTTCCACACAAAGTAATGGTAGAGGGGGTCTCCAATTTTATTTTCCAGTAGAGGCAGTGCAAGGAGAATACTGCAGACCAAGCCTCTGCGGTGAGGGCAGGTGGCACGTGAAGAAATGACCGTAAAGGACCCTGAGTATTGCAGGAGGCAAGAGCAGAGAGAAGAGGCTGAAGACGGAGGCAGGAGCCAGCTCCCGACAGGCCTGCGGTTCCTGCTCCGGTGCCGCAACTTCCCCTCAGCTGCTGGGCAGCACTGAAGGGGTTCAGGCAGCAGGACTCATGTTGAGATTTCCAAGTCACAAAGATGACACCAACTGCAACATGGATCACAGCTACAACGGAAGCGAGGGAATCGGGTCCCGAGACTTTGCTGGCACTAGCAGACACTTTATAAGACTTGGTCAAGATCATAGCAGTGAAGATGGGAGGATATAGGGGCATTTAAGAAACATCAAGCGAGAAGTGAACTAAAATATGCAAGTTGGGGGCAGATGTTTGGCAGATGTGATTAAGATGCTGGTTAAGACACACGACTCCCAGATTAGAGCACCTGGGGTAGATACCAGGTTTCAGTGCCTGACTCCAGCTTCCTGCTAATGCAGACCCTGAGAGGCAGCAGGTGATGGCTCAAATAATTGGGTCCCTGGCCAGTGGAAGAGTTTGAGTTCTCAGCTCCCATCTTCAACCTTGTCTTACCCCAACCATTGCAGGCATTTGAGGAGTTAAAAAGCAGATGGGAGCTCTATCTCTATTTCAAAAATAAAAATAAAATATCAAAGTGAATGAGGGGCAGGTGTTTGATGCAGCAGTTAATATGCCCACAACGCATATCAGAGTCCCTGGTTTAAGTTTGGCTCCTCTGCTTCTGATCCAGCTCCCTGCTAATGTCTGGGAGGCAGCAGACGATGGCTCAATTCCTGGCAGCCTGCCAACCCACATGGTAGACTTGGACTGAGTCCTGAACTTCTAGCATCAGTCTAGCCCAGCTCTGGCTGCTGTGGGCATTTGAGGAGTGAACCAGGGGATGGAAGATATCTACGCCTGCCTGCTTGTCTTTCTTATAAAATGAAAATAAATTAAAACAAATTTTAAGAGAAAACGAATGAAAGGCAAAGATGAAAATGACTTACTAGTTTCTGGCTTGAGTAACTAAGCAGATGGCAAAATAAGGGGCAAAAGAAAAAAAAAACAAGCAAAAAACTGACAGAGCAAAACCATTTACAACAAGATCAAGGAGCATGACATTTCCATGAACTTCAAAATATATGTAAGTGGGGACCAATCACCTCCAGTCGTAAGCCCTGCGTGCGAGCAACGCCTGTGTGGGAAGAAGCATGGAGGAGCTCAGAGTGTCTGATGGGCCAGAGAATAAAGATTCTGAAGAGCCTGCAGGTGACTGATGCTGGGGAAGATCCTGCCCACTGCAGCCATGGAGGAGCCCAAGCAGCTTACAGGAGAGAGAGTTCTGCCCGTGTGAATTCGCTAATCTGACCTTCAAGTATAAAAACACAGAGAAACTATAAATAACATGCAAGAATTCAGGGGGTAATTATCCTATGTGCCCTTCTTGAAAAACCTACTACAGACAAGTCTGAGAATGACGTGAGAACCTGCGGTAACAACTTTAGTTACTGTGGCAGAATAACTACATCAGACGTAAAAAAGCAGAGGTTACAATAGCGCTTCAATGTTTGGGGTATGCAAATATAGAACAACTATTTTTTAAAAGACACACCATGGAGATAGCGTAGGTAAAATAAATTTTAAGCTGTTTTCAGTCATCAGAATTGATGACGGTGGTGTATAAACTGCTCTTCTGAGACAGGGACGTGTCTAAGGAAGGATAAAGCAAATGAACATAAAATATTTTGGGCTAGCATCATCTGTGTACCACATAACCAGCATTCCTGGTGTGGGAGAAAGGGTACCGGAAATAGCAGTGTGAACTCACAGGGTGTTTTTCTCTCTCTCTCCCTTTCTTTCCTTTTCTCTCTTTCCCTTCTTCTCTCTGTAGTATGAACACTGAGCTCCTATTGTGGCTCTGAAATACCACTTCCCCTTTAAAACTAAGCAAACCAGAAAACAGAGCCGACCTGGATAGAACATGTTTAAGATGGGGCTGGAAAGGTCCACCTCTGCGGTCTCAGTGTCAAGCCTATTTAGCCGACCTTTCCTATATGAACTGCTACCACGGAGTAGACAAAGGGGAAGCATAACATTGTTTCAGCTACTACATGAAATTAAAGCCAAATATTAGAACATCCCCATTTTATAACACCAGAGGATTAGAACCTAAAAGCCACCCTCCAAAGTTTGCCTGAGGGATCCAACCTGAATCTCAACCAGCCTCTGGATGCAGCTGCCAACCTGCATGAAGTAAGAGGACTGAGGGACACTACCTGCACCAGGCGTGCTCAACTGGCAAAACCCAGACCAGGGCAAAGTAGTAGAAGCCAAATGCTCTGGATTCTTCAACAGATAATTTGTAAGAAAAGGAAAGGGAACCTGGATTAAGGGAGACTTAGAAGACATTTTCAGCTTTAACAAATGGGAAAGATTAAATTAAAACACCTAAGGATGAATGTATGAATGACAAAAGCATAAAGTCATTCAAATGAACACTATAAACATCAGGGTAGTGGTCACTTGTTTGGATGGGAAAGGCTTCTGGATTGAGTGACAAAGTCCCAAATCTTGAGCTGGGTGGTAGTTACATGCATATTCATCTTGCAATAACTCAGTATGCTATACAGTAGTTTTTGCATGGTTTTGAGTGTTTTATTTTTCAATAAAAAGGTTTCTAAAATAATGAAATGATGACGATAACAAGCATGGCCATGAACCTGTTGCACTGAGGTTCCTATGGCTATTCTGATGGAGCTGTTGATGAGGCTGCTGAGTGATGAGTCTGCAGCTGAGAACTTTTCAGGAGACATAGGAGGTCATCAGTGCCTGACCAGTGAAGCATGACAGGGGTGTGGAGAGAAGAGCAGGTAGCCAGGACTCGGTCCTGCGAGGGGCACATGCGGTATGAAGATGGGCGGAAGAGGAGGAACACTTCAAATGGAACTGCCGGAAGAGGGGAAGAAAAAAAAAGACCGAAGGGAGCTAAGGGGTAGCAGCGCTTCAGATGCAGCCGAGGGGTCAGGTGGCAGGTGGGCACAGATGGGCTTGCTGAATCCAATCACACACAGGCTGTCTGTGATAGTCCCAAGAACAGTGCATGGTGAAGCTGTCAGTCACACGGGGAAGCAGTCAGGCATGCAACCAGGTCTGTACCCATCTGGTTGTGAAGGGAAGTGAGGAAACGCAGGATCCAGGAGGCACTGAAAAGAGGACTATGTGGACACACGTACGAGGCTATCCTCAGCCTCTGATTTCTTAGTGAAGAAAGAGGGAAGATTATCTGCTGCCAAGTCAGGGGGCGGTGGCAAGGCAGATGCTTGAAGAGAGGAATGGACAGCCGACGTGGGGCCACTGGGTGGTGACTGGTAGCCGTGAGGCTCAGCAGAGCCAAGGCCATTACGGGCAGCGACTCCAGGTCCCAAGGTGCGGAGGGTCCTGACACCAGTGCCGCACAGCCTCCACGGAGGACTGCAAATGACAAATGGCTACCGACTCCGACTGGGCTCTGGCACCGGAAGGAGTCAAAGCAAGAAGGAGATGTGAACTCCAGGTCCTCAAAACAGAAGACTGAAAAAGAAGAATCCGGGAGGAAAACAGGATGATCCCAAAGGCCCTCCCTTTGCTAGAACGAAGTGTTACTGTGTACCGAGTCTACCTTGTGTATACCTCTGCTCTCCCACCTCCCAGTGGCTCTCCTGCCAGGGTCCTGGGATCCTCCCATGGCTCAACATCAAACGCGCTCTCATACTTTGAGGGTCAGACAGGGCAGACATTTTTAATTAGCCTTTAACTCAACTACATCGTAGAGAAAATGAACTTCTGACAAAGTAGAGAGAAAATCAATCCAAGGGCAGGGGCGGTGTCCCAGGCATTCAGCATTGAGGGGGAGCAGCACCCCTTGTGCCTCCAGGCTCAGAACTGTCTTTTCATCAAAACTCCGGTGTTAAGGCAGATAGCTTTCTGTGATACTTTCAGAAAAATAAAGGAGAAAATGTTTCCTCTTGGGATTCTTGAAATGTGATTTCACACCAGGGTGAGAGATAAACTATATTCAAGACTATTTAATCATTTAAAAAAGATGCCACCCTTTGGGATGATTTATGGCATTTATAGTGGTGAATAGCTGTCAGGGACTAAAATCTCAAAACTCAATCAACTGGCATTTTCTGTGGAACTAGTACTATTCTAGGTTCCATGGGTACAGAATGATCATTATATTTTCTTAAATGAATGCCAGGATGTGTGGGTTGGAGATGGAGAAAAATAAGGCATACTATATGCCAGGTGGTATTCACAGAGTTTTACATATATTAACCCTCATGGCCCTATAACATATTTATGTTATTATTATTACCATTGTATTGATGAGGAAATTTAGACATGAATTAAATAAGTTAATCACACAGGTAAGAAACGGAGGAGCCATTATTTGCATCTTGGAAGCCTGAAATTTGAAGCCCCGGTACTAATACTGGATATGAATTATAGAATACATATATCATTATGTATATGTCCTCCTGGAAGCTCTCAAATGTGATCTGTGGATGTGACCTTATTTGGAAACAGGGTCTTGGCAGAAGTGATCAAGTTAAGACATGGCCCTGCTAGATCAAAGTGGGCTCTAACCCAGTAGAGTGAAATTAAGACAATATTGACAACATGGCTAAAACCCGGTGACTCAGGGGCAGGTACCAGAGGGATGCAAGTGATGTGTCTACAAGCCAAGGAGTGCCAGGGACTATAATCACCAACAGCTAGAGAGAGGCAAAGAAGGACTCTCCCCTACTGCTTTCAAAGAGAAATCTTCAGCAAGCTTCATTAATTCAACCAATGATGCTTATGAGACAATGGAGTAGTTACCTGTTTGGGGGGTTATCAAGAGTATTAAATCCTCTATGTTTTACATTTATCCAAAATGCAAAGTCTTTCTAAGTAACCATTGTAGTGTTCCTTTTGCAAGAGAATTAATTTAAGTATTAATTTAAGTAAAGTTCGCAGTGAAATTTTTAGCCAGTAATTGATAACTATGAAAATAATTTAGGGGCTGATGTTGTGGCTTTGCAGGTAAAGCTGCCTCCTGCAATATGGGTATCCCATGTGGGTGCTGGTTCATGTCCCAGCTGCTCTGCTCCCAATCCAGCTCCCTGCTTAATGGCCTGGGAAAAGCAGCTCCATTTCCAATCCAGCTCCCGCTAATGGCCCGGGAAAAGCAGCAAAGGATGGCCCAAGTGATTGGGCCCCTACCCCCCATACAGGAGGACAGGATGAAACTCCTGGCTCATGGCTTTAGTTTGGCCCAGCCTTGGCTATTGCAGCTATGTGAAGAATGAACTAGAGGATGGAAGATCTCTGTCTCTCCCCTTCTCTCTGTAACTGTTTCCTTGTTCCTTCCTTCCTACCTACCTACCTTCCTTCCTTCCTTCCTTTCTTTTTAGAGACTCATTTATTTATTTGAGAGAGTTATAGATAGAGAAAAGGAGAGATAGAGAGGTCTTCCATCCACTGATTCACTGCCCAAATGATGGCAATGGCCGGAACTGGGCCAATCTGAAGCCAGGAGCCAGGAGCTTCTTCTGGGTCTCCCAAATGGGTGAAGGGGCTGAAGCACTTGGGCCATCTTCTACTGCTTTCCCAGGCCATTAGCAGGGAGCTGGATTGGAAGTGTAGCAACTGGGTATTGAACTGGCGCCCATATGGGATACTGGTACCACAGTCAGAGGCTTAACCTACTATGGCACAGCACTGGCCCCTGTAACTGACTCAAATAAATACATAAACTTAAATAATAATGAAAATAATCTAATAGATACTGCCATTATGTTTATAAAATTAGGTGGCACAAGGGTACAAATTCTTATAAAATGTTTTCAAATCACAACGGTGTTTCCTCCTTAAGAGACAATCAAGGGACAGTTTCATAAGCTCTGATGCCTGTTGGTTTTCTCCTTTTGTATGAGACACAAGCTAATTTCACTCCTTTACCTCCCATTTTACAAAGAGTGTTCCAAAGGTTCTCTTGAAAGCCTGTAATACAGACCACCTGGGCCAGGCTCCCAGCTAAATACCATGCATACTTTGCCAGATTTGATTCTTTCCTAATCATTCCATGCGGTAGGTGTTAAAAGTTCACAATGGGTTTCAGCATTTTCTTTTAGAAAAATAAAATACATGTATGTAGACCATTACAGAATACCTCTAGCAAGGTCTGGAGCAGCACTCAGTTACTGGACGAGTATTTCCTCATCCAACAGAGGAGATTTGACTTGCACACCAAGGGGACTGAAGAGCCTCATGCTGGTTATGATTTTCCTACAAAATGAGTTTGGGCTAAGTCTCTCAAAAACTGGTTCTCTGAGTGCTCTGAATCTCATAGTTGTGGATAAGGGCATGTGGACCTGTAAGACACTTATTTTCTAGAGCAGACACTGGCGTTAACTGGAGTCAAGTAACTCTTCCATGCACGGCACGTAGACGACTTGAGATTCAAACCCAGGTCTGCCTGGCTGCAAGGCCCTGGTCTCTGCACCACACCCCACTGCCTTGAAGGGGCTGTTATTCCCACAGTGGAGCCAAGCCCCAGAAATGCCAGTGCACTACACAATCTGCTGCTGTAGAACAAGGCATTACCAGGACAAAGATCTGGCCAGGGTTTCTACGACAGGCACATCCCATCTCGCTCCCAAGATGAGGGAAAACCTGACCCAGCACAAGAGGCAACAGGAAAGGGACTCTGCCAGCTTTGAGGCTCAGGGGAGAGGCAAGACAGGGGGTGGGATTCCGATTATGTGGAAAGAGAAGACGAGAGACTAGGCTCTGAAGAGGGGAGGAATGAATTAGGGCTTTAATGAAATATGAGAAGTGCCGAGTGGGAAGCAGGACTATCTCAGAGTAAGGAACCAGTGTGGACTGCACAGAAGTGAGAACCAACCTGTCGCTGGAGGAGGGGATTTTTTTCCTTCACAAATAAACAACCCTAGGAGAACAATGCAATGGGAGGCTTAATCTGCCCTTTCCTGCCAGGGTACCCTCCCCTGGCCAGCAGCAGTGCTGGAAGGGAAGCAAGCCTGGGAGGGCCACTGCTCCATGCCAGGCGTCTCAGCAGCTCTGCGCTTGGATGACATCCAGCCCTAGCAACCTTCCAGGGTTTTACAGATGGGCTACGGACCCAGTGAGGGGAACGCGCCCAAGGACGCGGTGCGGTAGAGGCGATCCTAGTTCTGAACTCTGCCCAGGTGCGTGCTCTTTTCAAGGATGAGAAACAGGTGGGCAGATGTGGGCAAAGCAGCAGGAAATCCAGGGGCTGGGAGTCAGGGTGTGGATTAGGCACGTGGGTGACAAAGGAAGTGGAGGACGTTAGAGCAAAGAAAACTTTCTATCAGGCATGGGAAATTTCTGCAGCAGCTCAAGGCGAGAACCAGAATCAAGCAAGATGGGAATGTTAGGATAGTTTGTTAAGATAGCACACCAACTTAAACATCAATGAACCACACCAATTCAATCACAGTCAATGGAAAGGAACTCTTCATATATACGTACTTCCCAAAGTTCGAAGAGCTCCTTTCTGAGGTCCTCTGGCAGGAGCTGGGTTATCTGCTTCATGGCTTCCTGAAAGACCAAATCATTATTTTAATTATGTTCACATTTATCTAAGTTAATAGCCAACCTACAAAATCCTAATAACAGGCTCATGCCCTTTTTAAATTTTAAGTTTTGCTTATTTATTTGAAAGTCAGAGTTGACAGAGAGACAAGGAGAAGCAGAGAGAGAGATCTTCCATATGCTGGTTCACTTCCCAAATGCCTGCAACAGCCAAGCTGGGCTAGGCTAAAGCCAGCAGCCAAGAACTCCATCCAAGTCTCCCATTTGGGTTGCAGGAACGCAAGTACTTGGATCGTTATCTGCTGCCTCCCAGGCACATTAGCAGAAATCTAGATCAGAAGCAGAGGTGAAACTCAATCCCAGGTACTCTGATATGGGGTGTGGACAGGGAACACAGGCAATCCCAAACAGTGGCTTCACCTGCTGCACAGAATGTCAACCCTGAAGGCTGACAATTTTACAAATAACCCCCACAGGTGTAACATTATAAACAGAGACATACTGGATAATATTTCTAACTCGCAAGGAAGGCAGTCATGGTATGTGAAATCAGTAAGTATATTTCTGCATATTATCTCCACTTAGTACTTTCTTCGTGGTCTCAGCACATTAGACAGACACACACATAAACACTCAAGCAAAAAATAAACGAGGAGGCTATCGGACAATTACAGAAATGTCAGGGAGTGAGACGGCTGGAGATGCGGGCCCTGCCACAGGGATGGACGAGCCGAGTTGATCAGGAGCATCGTCTTGAAAAGCCCCATGTCTGCAATGATGACAGTCCTGAAAGCCTGGAATTTTTCTGTCTGAAAATCAACTGTAGATGTTAAACTTCTGGCAGAGGAAGGAATCTCTTGCTCAAAGTGTGGTTCTGCTGTGTAAGGAGAAGTGTGCCAGTCTCAGCGATGCAGCCCTTTCAGACGTCGTTTGCACTCAGGTTCATCGGCACTAGAAAATCCGGGATGTGTATCAGATGAGTAAAGGACCAGGTGCAGAACTTGACCTTTTTGATTTAGAACAGTTCAAAAGTTCATTTACAAACATTCTTCGGAAGGCATTAAAAAAATGTGATGGTCAGCTTCAGCGATGCCAAGGAGAATACAGTCTGTATTCAAATCCCTTGGGGAGCACAGTATACTAAGCCAAAGCAGTACAAACCTACTTCCATGGTGTACTATTCCCACACGCCCTATGCCTTCACTTCTTCCTCCAGGCTCAGGAGCAATATCCCCCTTCTGGGTCAGGTACTGACAATCACTAGCAAACACCATCAGATCGTACAAATAGACCTGACAAGCAGATCCCTGGACTCTCTTAAGGCTATTGCTTTCATGTAGTCTAGTCAGAACTTTGAAATCCACAGCACTACAACACCTCAACAGAAAAGGAGCCTTTGGCTGGACATAAACACAGATTCAAGGATCATTCACGAAAATTCAGTAGAAAAAGACAAAGTCCAGAGAATAACCCAAGAAACTTTTGGAGACTATCCTCACACCACGACTAGAATTTGCATAATGGAAGCTTGAAACAAAGAATCACTGTGGTGCCTTATAAAAAAGTTCTCCAGCCCGCACCTTTTGGAAGCATTGAAATCCCTAGCACCAGCCAGAATTGCAGATGCACCACTTTCTCCACTGCTCACTTGCATACCCAACAAAGGAATGAATTATTTTAAAATTAGAGATAATTAAGATACATGGAGTTTTGTAAGTGCCTCAGTTCCTTGACTACAACTATTGCCTATGTATTTGTTAATGGGTGGTTGGGTAGCTTCTTTCTATAATTTTGTATTTTATAAATTAATTATTGGTATTGAAAGTTTAGAAACCTTCATATAATTGCTGGGATTGATTCCTTCCTCATTCCCATGTTCTGCTAGGGATGGCAGTTGTGGGCATTTGAGATTCCACAGGATATCGATGGCTCCAGACCTGACTCTGAGTACTTCACTGCTCTGAGTCAAGAAGGAGGCCTAGTGGTGCAGCCTACTGGGTATCATGTCCAGTGTCCTTTCTCCCACTCCTGCCTCTTCTCTACCCTGGGGATATCTGGTTTCAATTGCCAGTGTCCAGGGATTTCCTTGTAAACCTTGGATCACATAAAGAAACACCAAGAAACTTTACCTGACTCCAAACTTCTGGGAAAGTCATAAAATTAGTCTGTTCAGATGGAAGAGTTGAGCCCATGAAGTTGTTGTTGTAAGAGGCTCTTTGATGATTCAGTTATATAAAATCATTGTTTAGTTGTAAATCAGCTCTTCATAATCTTTTATCATGTGTAACATTCAAACTGACCATTATTATCCTGATTTGTGAACAAAGATACTGAAAACTTAAAAACAAAAGAAATATCAGAAGCAAGGTCAAGGATTTTACATCTCATGGATGAATCACAATATGACCCACATAAATGTCAAGCACAAGCATATTTGAGTTCAAAATAAACCAGAGTGGCGAGAAAGGGAAAGTAACACTGAATTATAAACTCAGCCCAGGCCACTTGGAGGCCATCTCCATGAAAATACAATGAAGATTAAAAAAATGGGATCGACCGTAGCCACTTCAAAATAAACCATTTTTGCCAGGGTGGACAATCTGCTCTTCCAAGTACAATCACCATCGTACATGGTGTGCAAATGGCTGTATTTTCATTTTCTCATCAGAGTTTGGGAGACAGAAAGCATGAAAAGAGGCCCAAGAATTAATAAAAACCCAAAGAAAGGCAGAAATCAAAGAACGAGAGCATGGTGGGTACCCTGGACTTATTGCTAGAATCCGAAATCCTGGGAGCTCCCCTTTTGCCCATCTCTTCCTTCATCTGAGTTGCTCCAGTAGCCTTCTAGAATATCACAACCTTTTCTCAAAGGGCTTCAAATTCTTCCACCATCCTCACTGCATTTTTACTCCTCCAACTGCAGAGGTTAGAGTACTTGCAAACACCATGGTTTTAGGTTTTGGCAACATAAAAGGCTTAACAAAATAGTGAGTTCAGGAAAAGCAATGAAAATGTGTGTGTTTTTATTACTGAGAGGAAAAGAAACGTCAGAGACCAGAGCAAGCCATATCTGCCAGTGTGGACAATCTGCTTTCCTAGGTACAACCACCGTCTTCAATGGTGTGTTCAATAACTGAGCTGTGGCATCCTACTGCCCTTAGTAGTATGGAATTCGGTGTATCCTGAGGTTGCTTGCTTCAGTCCCTTGCATCCTGTTCATAAATTTCAGCAAAATGTTTTGAGAAAATACTTTGTGTTTTCACAGATAAAAGGTGCCTTCATAGACCAGATCATCTTCTCTACACCTTTCAAGTTTGCCCATTCCTCTTGTTTGAAAAGAAACCACTGGATGACAAATATGTACAGGCACATCAAAATCTAAACATCTAAAATAAACATAAAAGCCTGGCCTTGGCACGGCATTATTTTATTCCCTTTGCTGTGATGCATCCAGCACTGAGCACCGTGATTTCCGCCTGGTCTGACCAACATGGAACAGGAAGGAATCGCCACTTCCTTCATGCTAGATGCCGCATGGGTGCCTCAGAAAGCTTGTGGGAAAAGCGCAATTAAAAGATGAGTTTCTTTTGGTGAAACATTTTGAAATCCATGTATAAAAGGGGTCTTCAAAGAGTTCATCGAAAATGGGTATTATGATAAAAGTATGCATGGGTTTCAAAAATGTTTTGCCCCAAAATAAAATCTCTTAATTTCACATTTCTGTAAAGTTTTTGAAGGCCCTTGTGCATTTCTATGAATGCAGCCTATGACCAAACCAATTTTTAGAGCTATCCAATTGCTGACTTTACTAACAAATTTTCTGTTGACCAAAATCCCTACATTCTTTGAAAAACAGACAACAAACAAGTAATTTTGCTCTCTTCTTGAAACTGATCAATGACTTTCTGGATCCAAGCTCATTGATGAGCCCTTTTAGATAGTCCATTCCCTGTTTGGTGGCATGTGCCACATAATCATATTCACACTTTAAAAGGAAGCTGCTGAAATCAACCTCAGTAAAATCCAGGGCACGCGGCTGCATTTCCCTTCCTTGTTGGTTGTAAGCCCTGCCATCCCCACTTCCGTACTGTTTCACCAGGCTGTTCATGCAGATTTACAGTGCCAATTTCCCTAGTTTCTTGCTCTGTTAGCAAAGCATGTCAAACCCTTGCCTGAAGTTCTGAGCTGAGTGCAGCTTTTAGAAAATGCCTTGTGTCAGCTTTGTGACAAGCATCCAGAAAGCACTGCTGGTCATGCACACTGCTCAGGCTGACGCAGTAGCACCTAACTGCAGACTCCAAGCCCAGACTGGGACTGGCACTAGTTCTGCATCTCTGAGGAACTTACTCAGCCTCATTGTCTCCCAAGTTTCTCATCTGCAAACGGCACCTACCCAACAGGACTATTACAAGGGTTGAGTGTCAGGTGCTCATATCCTCACACATGATCAGCACTTCGTAAAAGTTGCCTGTATTTTCATTTTCTCTATATTTCCATGTTCAACCTCATGATAAAGTTCTGTTCTTCTCCTTGTACCCTCCCAACTGTTAGTAATGTTAACCCCTGAAGACAGACACACACTGATACTTGTTCTTCAAACAACTTTTCCCTCCATAAAGGAGTCTCACGTGCCACCTCAAGTTCCATCCTCCTAGATCTGGTGATCCTGATCAGGTATCAGCTACCAACTCAGGTTATCATATAAAATTGTATTTTTACATATTATTGCATTATCACACTGAAGTATTGCTTTGGTCCCCCTTCCTAAATTCCTCTTGTGTCCTCCTTCTTTCTTTCATGTTGATATCTACTCTCCTCCAAAACAATCTTCCAATTGATCAAGTATTTCTTTTCCTTCCCACTTCAGTTTACAATCTTGCCGATCCAGTCTGCTAGCCTCTGGCAGATGATGCATCCTGCTTCTTGTTACGTGTGTGCCACTTCGAGCCAAGAAAGCCTCACTTAATTATCTTAATGCATGGTTCAGACATCCAAATCTTGTTCATAAACACCATCTGCATAGAGAATTGATCACCTCCCAGATCTTTCTCTCTGTCCCCAAATCCTGATCCATAGCAGGAAGAGGCAGTGGAAGATCAGTGCTCTCCAAGCCTTTGGTTTCTTGCCCAAGAACCTGTGGTTCTTTAAGATGTTTTTCCAGTCCCTTCTGCTGGTGACACTTACTCCCTTATGAATCAGCAGAATGGGCATCAGCCCGGGGGTTTAGTGATGCCAGAAAGGTTTTCATCCCAGCCAGGAAGCAGCATTCAGGAAGACAGCAGCACCTCTTGGACTGGTCCAGTCTCCTCTGGGCCCCTGCAGGGGGCGACACTAGCCAGCACCCAGCCCTTGTCAGGACTGTGGTAGATTTTTTCTCACCTCTAGTGGTTGGAGAGCCTTCACATCAATGCTGGTTCTTTTCCAGATGTTTCTGTCTTGTGTTAAACAAGGCTGAGACAGCCCTACATTTCTATTGTGTTAAACAAGGCATAGAACAAGCAAACGCCAATTTGCTGCTTACTCCAGCAGCTTTGCTTCCCTGTAGAGAAAACCTCAGATTCGTGGTGCAACCCCAGAAGGGACAGGGTGTCTGAAATCTTAAGTCTTCCTCTGTGTCACATTCCTGCACCTGGTCTCTGCTGATCCTCTGACGCTTGAGTTCGTTACTTCGCCTCTACTATGTCCAGGTGGTACCTTTGAATGAATGCCCGTCCATCCTGAGCGGAGCTACAAAACTGAGGCACCCTCCCCTCCTCCACGTTACATTTCACGACTCACCGTGTTGTTGTGCCAATTATTTCTGCAACTCAGAATCTTGATCTGTTTCCTTTTTTGACATTAATTCTGCCAACCAACCCAGGGACTTTATATCCCTGATGGTCTAGACTTAGAGGAACCTTTCTTTAGTTTTCCCCCATTCTTCTGTCTGCCTATATTCTCGCAGGAAAAACACAATCCTTACACTATTCTCCTTGTTCCCATGTTTCAGACTGGGTTTGAACTCCTAAACTAGGACTCTAATTCTTTATGGATTGGGGCCAGCATTGTGGCACAGCAGGTTAAGCCACCGCCTGCGAAGCCAGCATCCCATAGCAGAGTGCCAGTTTTGAGTCCTGAGTGCTCTGCTTCTGATCCAGCTCCCTGTTGGGAAAGCCGCAGAAGATGGCTCAAGTGTCTGGGCCCCTGCCATCCACAGGGAAGACCCAGATGGAGTTATGTGCTCCTGGCTTCAGCCTGGCTCAGTCCCTGTCACTGCAGCCATTGGGGGAATGAACCAGCAGATGGAGGGTCGATCTCTCTGTCTCCCTGTTCTTGCCTCTAAAGGGGCAAAGATCCTCTTGGCTATGGAGCTTTCCCATCTCCTGAGCTTTGAAAACAGCAGTTTAAGCCCTCTTGCCCTGAAAGGTCACCTCTGTAGACTCCCTCTACTCAGCCACTTAGAAAAAATCGCTAATACCTACAATGAAAGCCACCTGCCTTAGCCCTGAACTGGGAACCAGCCAGTGGTCAATATAAAAAGTCTTCCTGATTTTTCAGCCTCCACTTCAAAATGTCTTCCTCTTTGGCCATGGACTCTGGGCTTAGAGCTCACAGTAACACTGATGTAATATTAGTGATGCTACTTATTTTTTACTAATACAATTAATAGCCACTAACTTAAAAAAAACTAACTTAAAATTTACTAAATAGTAATAATGGTTATACTTGTGATTTACAAAACTTCCCTCTAAAGAGCTTAAAGAACACATAGAATTCCTACAAATTCACTTAAGCTGTTTCCATTGTTCCAATGAAAGCCATACTGTCCACATCCACATACTAATGAGAACTGGAACCGAAACCAACATCATTGTCTGTCCTTGTGTTGAAGATGACTGGGAGCAAGCAGCACATTCTCATTGTGTTAAATGTTTTTGCAAACAAGCAAACACCAATTTGCTGCTTACTCTAGGAAATCCCTGCTTCTGGAAGATAATCACTACAAACCACCCAAGACTCTCTTTAAGACTCTCTTGTTTTTCTCACCAGTCCCAAGCCAAGATGTCCTCAATTCCATGCAAATCCAGTTACCTACCTATCTTGGAAGATCCACCTTAACTTTCTCTAGATCAGGCTCTACAACTCTACAAATACCCTTCTCTCACCTCCCTTTCCTGGGATACTCCTAAGATGTGCAAGCGGAGTTCTCCTTTACAGCAATGGAACTGACAAACTTAGGTTTGCTCCAGCGATTTCCTGGCAGTCTTCTGCACAGTCAACAGCCACCACTGACCTCTTCTCGCCTATGTTTTTCTTCTTTAGGGATGTTATCTGCTGGTGCTATGTCCCCAACGATGCACTCTGCCATATCGTGAACCAGGGCTAGGCGGATACATCTGACCAAGCAAGAAATGTTAACAATTACACAGAATTATATTCACTACCAGTTCCTTGTCTATACTATTTTGAAGTTAACATAACACACTTTTCTTTCTCTACCCTCAGAGAAGACTTTAATACAGTATTTTCTAAAGTAATTATATTCCACCATCCTACATCCCTTCTGAACCACAACTGCTAGTTTTCAATCCAGGAAAATACAGAGGGAACTGTTAGAATGCTTTTTAATAGCTAATTTCTCAAATCTCACTTCAAACAGTTCATAAATTCAGATTGCAAGCCAGGAGATAGTCTGACTGCAGCATTTACTTACTGATGTAAAATTCTGTAACAATCATTTCCCCCAACCTATTAGGGAGATGCGAGAATGAAGCTGTTTACAGGGTCATTGGTAGAGCTAGACAGATGTGGTTTTGAACCTTGCAACCGACACTGATTAGCTAGATGACTTTTGCCAAATTATTTAATTTCTTAAGTGTCCAAATTTTTCACCCTTACTTTTACCATCTGTAAAACAGGGCTAGTAATACTTACCAGGTTGGTGAGAAAATTAAACTTGATAATTTATGTTTCTGGCACACGTTGCTCATTCATGGTTATTAGTGAGGAATGATCAGTAATTATGATAATCATCATCAAAATAACAAAGGCAACTAATGAGATAAACACCCCGGGGGCCAGTCTGCTTTACATTCTATCAAGGAGGCCTTGCCAGGCCTAACAGCCTCCTTTTAGGTTTCTCTGTCTCCAGTGTCTCAATCAGCTCAAATCTCAAATAATTCTTAAATTCTCCCCTATTTGACTTCACCTTCATCCAGTACTATTTACTAAAAATCTCCCAGTTCCATTCCCTCTGCTGAGTAAGAGGACTCCTCAGATTCCTTATTGTAATCAATTATTTGCTGTAGTCAAACTGATACACTTCTCGTTTCCAGAACATTCCTTTACTTTCCTCTACATCAACCCTTTAGAACCCAATGCAGGTTCTGCCTCCCCCAATAAAACTAACCCGGAAGAGCAATCCACCCTACTGCAGAATAATCTGCTAATTTTCTACCATAACTTATTTTGCACTTTCAGATTGTGCAATTCATTTGGGATTGATTTTTCTTATATTGCTAATAAACACTTATACTATGCTCAAAAGGCATTTTAAACACTTGTTGATTGACTAAAGTGGGAGAAGATTCCTCTTTTTCAACTATATATATGCAGTACAGCTCCACAAAGTCCTTTCTTAAATGGACAGGAACTATATAGGTTAAATAGGTTAAGCCTATTTCTTGAATAGGCTACTATTCATAAAAGGGCCTAAAAATACAGTGTGGGTCCCCTCCCCCCAGACCAAGGCAGCACCTTTCATTAGCCAACAGAACACAGGGTAGTTTACAACAACTGAAGCAATGAACACACAGCATTCCCTCTTCCCACGTAGTGAATCTCTACAATCTGGTAATTTTTTTTTTTTTTAAATAAACAAACCTACAAGAATGTGACACAGGCCTGTCATGAGAAGTGTGCACACCCATTATGGAGAGGACCTCCCAGCATGAAGCTTACCGGTCTTTATTAAGATGGTCATCTTGAGTCACCATGGCCATAACTGCCATCCGGTACATGTGATCGGATACGCTCTCTGGCTTCTCCACATTTCTGTATACCCAGCCAGTCCGTGGGACTCTCTGATAAATATGAAGAAAAAGAAGTTTTGGGTTTTTTTAATGTTACTGTCAAGTAATTGCATCTATTTTTTAAAAGATTATTTATTTATTTGAGAGGTATCTATAGGCAGAGAGGGGGAGCAACAGAAAGGTCTTCCATTCTCTGGTTCACTGCCCAGATGGCCGCAATGATTGGAGCTGGGTCCATCTGAACCCAGGAGTCAGGAGCTTCTTCTGGGTCTCCCACGTGGGTGCAGGGACCCAAACACTTGGGCCATCTTCAACTGGTTTCCCAGGCCATAGCAGAGAGCTGGATTGGAATTGGAACAGCCAAGACTGGAACTGGCATCCATATAGGATGCTGGCATACCAGGCAGAGGCTGGGCCACAGTACCGGCCCAGAAAAAGAAGTTAAAAAAAAAAAAACTGAATATTTTAGCCAACCTACTATGTTTTTTTATTTTTTTAAAGACTTATTTATTTTATTTGAAAGTCAGAGTTACACAGAGAGAGAGAGAGGTCTTCCATCCCATTGGTTCACTCCCCGGTTGGCCACAACAGCTGGAGCTGCACTGATCCGAAGCCAGGAGCCAGGAGCGTCTTCCAGATCTCCCACGCGGGTGCAGCAGCCCAAGGACTTGGGCCATCTTCCACTGCTTTTCCAGGCCAGAGCAGAGAGCTGGATGGGAAAAGGAGCAGCCGGGGCTTGAACCGGTGCCCATATGGTAAGCGGGAGCTTCAGGCCAGGGCGATAACCCGCTGCACCACAGCACCAGCCCTGAAAACTACAATGTTTAAAGAGACGCCCAGTGGGGGCCAGCCCTGTGGTCCAGCTGGCTGCTTGCGACCACGCCAGGATCCCACATCAGAGCTCCAGGGCTTCCATCCTGCTTCTGGCCCAGCTCCCTGCTAATGCACCTGGGAAAGCAGCAGATGATGGTCAAAGTGCGTGGCCCCTGCCACTCACTTGGGAGCAGTGGATGGAGTTCCAGGCTCTGGTCACTTGGGGAGTGAACCAGAGGGTAGAAAAGCACTCTCTCGCCTGGCTTGCTCCCTCTCTCTTCCTTTTGAGACGGCTAGTGAAGAGCACTCCAAAAGCCAGATGGCGAGAAGTCATTCACAAATGTACCAAAGTCCAACAGTGTCCTGTGTTACTGGTTTAGTTATGAAACTGATATGAGTGCTTTATTCACAAACACAAAACTACTTTTCCTAATTACAAGGGTCCAGGTTTTTTGCCTATAATCTCATGTGCAGAAGCAGAAAACACTGTGACTTCCAAACTCTCTGCAGAAGGGATTAGGGCGTTTCTCATTGCTTAGGACTCTGCCCTTGATTCAAACCACGGCCTCTTAGGTCCCTGCAGCTCAGAAAGCTTCACTTGTAAAGTGCATGTAAACCCGGGCGGGGAAATCACGTGATTTCGGGAAATAACTGCGGAGAATTCAACCCTCCGCCTCCGAGGGAGGCTGGTCTTCCTCCAGCTGCTCGGGATCACCCCCAACCACTCACAGGACACCGGGGCGCCGGCCCCGGAGGACCCGAGCGCAGGCGGGGCCTGTGCGCGGGACCGGGCAGTCTGAGCGCCCGCCGCTCCGTGGAAGCCTCCGGAAAGGCTGCCGGGCCGGGCTCGCGGCCCCAGACACCCGACACCCGATAGCTGGGCTTGGACCCCGATCCGGCCCCGGGCAGCCGGCCGCGCCGTCTCCGGTTCAGGCCTCGCGGCCCCGGCGGGAGGACGTTTTCCTTTCGGAACCGCGCGGGGCGGGGAACGGCGCAGGCAGCTCCAGGCCGCAGCCCGCCGGGACTCGGAGGGCCCGCAGCTTCCTCGTGGTGCCCGCCGGCAGCCTCCCGGCCCAGCGCCCGCTCACCTTGAGCCGCCCCACCAGCCGCAAGAACTGCAGCAGGGGCCGGGCCCCGCGGCTCGACAAGGCCGCGGAGGAGACCGAAGCCATGCGGAGGATCACGGCGAGGAGGTGCAGGCCACGTGGTCTCGGCCCGAAGCTCCTCCCTCCCCTCTTCTTCCTCCTCCCCTCCCTACTTCTTAAGCCTTTCTCCCCTTGCCCTCCTCCTCTTCCTCCTCTACTTCCTCCTCCCCCTTCTCCTCCCCTCTGTCTCCTCCCCTCCATCCCCTCTGTCCCCCTCTGTCCCCTCCACCTCCAATTCCTCACTGTGATTTTCTAGGGCCCTTCTGCCCAGTCTTCTACCTTGCTAGCCTCCCTGGCCGCCACTTGGGCAGTGTTTGGCACCACCAGGCACACCATCAAACTTCTTCAAGAATTCCAGTTTTCCAGTCCCAGTGGGAGGGGCGAGTGTGTGTGTGGAGGAGGAGGGCTGTGCAATGTTGCACAAAAACCTTACTGTTTAGGACTAACTCATTGTCTAATTAGGGAAAGAGAGAAGGAACTCTACTTCGGGGGGGGGGGGGGATCCACAAACATTGTAACAGAAGGACCAGGAATACTTTGGAGGGGAATTAGGAGTGGTGGAAGAACTGGGAGAGTTTGCAGGGAGCCCTGAGTGTGCTCAGAGGAAGAGCAAGCCATTGGTGAAATCAGAAGCTTCCTAGCACCCAAGTGCTGAAGAATCTCTGACTCCCCAAAGATGGTCGGTTCTGTCTTGATTCCATCAACAACCAGTGGGACTTTTGTGGAAATACTTTTCCCAATTGTTTTATTCTTGCCCAAGTGTAAGATAAGAATTCAAAGCAGGTGCATAAATACAGCACAAAAATGAGAGCAACATTTTTTATGGAGTGTGTACACATTCAGATGTGAGAGTGGGAAGCCCCATGAGGAGGGATGCCAGAGAGAGGGCTACTATCTATGTCTGTGAGGGGAGAGGGAGGGCTGTGCTAGCCTATAAGGAGAGAGCAAGCCAGCCCCCGACTCTGGTGGGCCCGTTTATGGAGTAGGAGGTGGTGCCTTAACTGAGGATGCAAAAGAGTTGGACCTAGGGCAGAGTTCAGTGGTCATGATGTCCTCTGGGAAAGTTTCCATGCGGGCTGCAAACGGAGCTCAGTGTACACGCGTCCATCATGCATTTTCGAGGTGCTGGAGTCAGGTGCATCATGGGAAAGCAGTTGTACTGGATTGGTATGTAAGGGGTGAAGTTAGGGTGCAGGGCTAGAGACAAACTGCAGAAAATCTTCCAGCTCATTGTTCCCTGACCCCTTGCCTAGCCACATATCAGTACCAATTTTTATAGAGAGCAGCCAAAGAGATTGAAAGGCTCAAGGAGAGGGGAAGGGTGGAAAGGTATTGGGAATAAAAAGGAATTAAATTTTTTCTTTCACAGTACAAATGCCTGTCATTTATATACTTGGCGCAAGTACTGCTGGATCTGTGAACTAGACAGTGTTGGTCCTTAATTATTGTGTTGCTCATAGCCCCACGGTCTGTTCAATCATGGGCAGCACCAGGCATGGAGTTAGGAAAATTCACCTACACTAGTATATGCACCTACACTAGTAGTATAACACTAGTTATACTACACTAGTAGTTATACTACACTAGTAGTATAACTAGTAGTATAACAGCAAGAAGCTGTTCGTACAGAATACAACAGAACAGCTTGTACAGAACCCAACCTGAGACAGCCAGCCTCTGTTAGCTTTAAAGAAGTAATTAATGGGGTCAATGCAATGGCACAGTGAGTTAATGCCCTGGCCTGAAGTGCTGGCACCCCATATGAGCACCGGTTTGAGTCCCAGCTGCTTCACTTCAGATCCAGCTCTCTGCTATGGCCTGGGAAAGCAGTAGAAGATGGCCCAAGTCCTTGGGCCCCTGCCCCCACGTGGGAGACCTGGAAGAAGCTCCTGGCTCCTGGCTTCGGATCCACGCAGCTCCGGCCGTTGTGGCCAGCTGGGGAGTGAACCTCTCTCTCTCTCTCTCTGCCTCTCCTCTTTATTTTGTAATTCTGACTTTCAAATAAAAAATATTTATTTATTTCTATCAAGGTATTGCCTTGACAGATTGGTGGAACATGCAGCTTTCCCAGCAACCAATGTAGCCTGAGCAGTTTATGTCTAAGCAGCCTAGGCAGAGACCTTGGAGAATCGAGGCAACCTTGGATAGAGGTGAAGTGCCACAGGCTCTGGACTCTTCTTCCTGAATCCGGAGCCCAACTCCATCACTTCCCAGTTGTGTGATGTGGGCAGGTCATTCATCCCTAACCCTCAGTTTCTCCATATGTGCAGCAGCTACCTTGAAACAGTTCTGAAGTTAACTAAGCCAGTGCACAGGAAGCATCACTACTTGGAACCACTCTAGCTATTGTGATGTTATATGCAAAGAATTTACTTTATTTAAGATAATACCTACAAAATGGTCTTTAAAAAGTGAATGTTGACAGGGCTGGTGCTGTGTCACAGTGGACTAAAGCTTCCACCTGTGGCACCGGCATCCCACATGGGGACCGGTTCCAGCTCTCTTGTATGGCCTGGGAAAGCAGTGGAAGATGGCTCAAGTGCTTGGGCCCCTGCATCCGTGTGGGAGATCCAGAAGAAGCTTCTGGCTCCTGGCTTCAGATCGGCTCAGCTCCAGCCATTGTGGCCATTTGAGGAGTGAACTAGCAGGTGGAGGACCTCTTTCTCTCTGTCTCACCCTCTGTCTGTCTGTAGCTCTACCTCTCAAATAAATAAATAAAATGAGGGGAAAAAAGGAATGCTATTGAAAAAAAGTAAATGTTAACATGACCTCAGGGACTGCTATTTTCCTCAGTGGTAGCATTATAAATCCTCTGAATGCCTAGCAGCATAGGCTCAAGGATATACGAAAGTTAAGGATCATGTAACTAATCCAGCTCTAGTCCCCTTTCCCCCCAGTACTCCTGAGAAATACCGTGGAGGTTCTCAACTTGCAGTTCTAGGGAGGAAATGGCCATGTAGAAGGGGGCAGAATGGGAAAGAAGGAGTGAGTGATACAGGCAGTAAATCCTCTCGGGAAATTCCGATGTTTTAGTTTTGTTGGTCTGTTTTTGTTTTGTTTTCCTTTAAGAACAAGAGACTTGGTCCTTCAAGAATTTAATTGATTTAAGATTCATGCATGTTAGAAGTTCAGTTTTTATTCAAGAGAATACACCATTTACTCATTCAAACGCTTGTTGATTCCCTGACTTATGTTAAATACTGTTCTTGGCCCTGGGGACCTATAAATCAAAAAAATTCGCAAAGTTTCTGCCCTCATTAGACTTCTAGTTGAGGGAAGACAGGTAAAGACAGATAAACTAAAAAGAAAACCACATGTTAGAATGTTATTGAGCGGACCGGCGCCACGGCTCACTAGGCTAATCCTCCGCCTTGCAGCGCCAGCACAGCGGGTTCTAGTCCCGGTCGGGGCGCCGGATTCTGTACCGGTTGCCCCTCTTCCAGGCCAGCTCTCCGCTGTGGCCTGGGAAGGCAGTGGAGGATGGCCCAAGTGCTTGGACCCTGCACCTCATGGGAGACCAGGATAAGTACCTGGCTCCTGCCATCGGATCAGCGCGGTGCATTGTCCACAGCGCGCAGGCCGCGGCGGCCATTGGAGGGTGAACCAGCGGCAAAGGAAGACCTTTCTCTCTGTCTCTCTCTCTCACTGTCCACTCTGCCTGTCAAAAAAAAAAAAAATGTTATTGAGCAAGGACTGACTTCCCAGGGTGCATAGAAGTCAGTATAACGTCACTGACTTATGAGAAATAAAGACTTTATTGTGAGGTAGATTAGCAAGGAAACAGGAGAGGAGGCTCAAATGCATCTCCCTGATGTGGGATCTGGGGCAGGTCTTATAGGTTGGGGAAGACAGGCTGGTATGCAGAAACGCTGGCAAGACATGTTCTGGTTGTGAAGCTCTCTGGTGAATGGACTTCTGGCTTCTAAAGGGGTTATGGTACTCGGGGGTCCTGTCACACTCTTGTCTCCTTGGTTCCACAGGGAGGAAGCATTGGTTCTGTGTGTTATTTAATGTTAAGGATTTCCTCCTCTGTGCTTGCCCAGATTATGCAACTCACCGATTGTGCTCTGTTGTGGCTGTTGGCCATCACCTGTATTAGGATCTTTGCCAACAAATAAACATTCCTCAGGTACTTCCTCCCCACTACCACCACCAGTATTTTCCAATTCACAGTGATTGAAATTTAATCTGTGTAACTTTCTGGATTCAGTTAGGACCAGACAGAAACAGTTTGCCTTGAAATGTATAGCTTTGGGCAATCTTAGACTAAATCTTGGCCTGAGAACCCTACAACCACCTAGCGTATACCTCAGACTTCTGGGTCTGTCCCAGCAGACCAGTGCCATTTTGTGCCATGGATACTTGTTTGGATCCAGAGGACGCCAAGGGCTCAGTTCAAGGGGTCTTCATTGACTAGCAGAGCCCCAAGCCACTGGTGTTGACAGCAGGACCCGTTTGAGGTGATTTTTGCAATTCTATGATAAGAAATGCAGTAGAGAAAAATAAGCAGAGTAAGATGGCTAGAGATATGGGATATAGTGTGGGGAGCAGCCCGGACTGGACTGAGTTACTGGAATTAAGACTTATTCTATGCATCTGCTCTCCCACAATATGGCGCTGGGAGAGAAGTAAACAGCTTCCGCACAGCTGCCTCCAGTTCAGCTAATAAACTGTAGGACTTGCTCCTGATTGGAGGAGAGCAGCGTACTCGGCGTGTGGGCAGCCGAGTTAGGATTGGCGGAGGAGGACTATAAAGGAGGAGAGAGACGGCATGCACCAGGAACATCTAAGAGGAACATCTAGCTGAAGGAACACCTGTGCAGCCCCCGAGAGAGACGGCCGGCGGTGTGCCGCTCCCCTGCGGAAGTGGGGAATGTGGCCAGGGGGAACTGCCCTTCCACAGAGGTGGAAGGGATAGTAGCCAACCCGGGAAGAACCAGCAGCAAACCCGGGGAGGGCCGAGCAGACGAAAGAACAGCGCAGGGTCCTGTGTCGTTCCTCCACGAAGAGGGGGAGCGACAATATAGTTTTATACAAGGTAATCAGAGAAAACTCCACTCTGAAGGTAGTACTTGAGCAGAGACCTGAAGACAACAAGTGTGTCCCGAGTCTACCTGGGGACGGAAGAACAGGTGGAAAGGATTCTCGGTGCAAATGCCCAGAAGCTAAAGAATACATAGTGATCTCTAGACAAAAAAGAAAAAGACAATGGTGTGGCCGGAGTTGAGAATGTAAATGGGGGAGGAGGTGTTGGAGGGTTAAGGACAAAGAAGGAATAAAATAGTTGCTTGGAAAACAGTTCAGCAACAAGATTAAATGTGATTAAAAACTAAATGAATGCCAAGGACAGTGAGTCTTGTGTTCTTATTAAACATGATTACAATGATGAGCAGGAAACCATTTTTCTGATGTTAGGTGATGCCAAAAAAGGAGGATTGAGAGGTAAAGTAGTCAGACCCGTTGGAGGCAAAGAAATAAACAAAAGGTCCAAGAGAACAAATAAGATAAGGATGTTTGATTTGCAAAAGGGTATAATGAGGGACATTCTAGAGTTGGATCATAAAGCAATGGAACTGCAAGTGTGACTGTGATGTGCAGCCTTGTCCTTCTTTTTCCAGCAATGCCTTGGTTTCCATGGAGCTCTTCTTCATCTCTGCAGGTTTGGTTTAGACTTCATGGGAATCTCTATCTGTATTTGCAACTTTCTTTACAAAATGCATGTGAGTTCTTTTCACTTTGTGTAATGAATCTCGGGGACTTTTTCTAGTTACCCAAGTTATCAGGAGTTGAAAGACATTGAGTTCTGAGAAATTATGAATTGAATCTATATAGTTTTTAAAGGCCTCTATTGTAAAGATGATAGGGATTTATTGAGGGGTTATTATTCTCAAATTGTTATCCTGAGAGCTCAAAAAATACTGTTGACTTTTTGCTTTCTTTTTTTTTTAAAGATTTTTTATTTATTTTCCTTGAAAGTCAGTTACATAGAAAGAGGAGAGGCAGAGAGAGAGAGAGAGAGAGAGAGGTCTTCCATCCGATGGTTCACTCCCCAGACGGCCACAATGGCCGGAGCTGCGCCGATCTGAAGCCAGGAGCCAGGAGCCTCCTCCAGGTCTCCCATGTGGGTGCAGGGGCCCAAGGACTTGGGCCATTTTCTACTGCTTTCCCAGGCCATAGCAGAGAGCTGGATTGGAAGAGGAGCAGCCGGGACTTGAACCGGCGCCCATATGGGATGCTGGTTCTTCAGGCCAAGGCGTTAACCCACTGTGCCACAGTGCCAGCCCCAACTTTTTGCTTTCTTAAATGGCAAATGTTTGTAATAAGCTTGTAACAGGGTTTATTCCTGTCATGCTATCAAAACTACCAAGAAAAAATGACTGTAGTATGTAGAATAATGGCCTCCCAATGAAGATCACGTGCTAATCTCTAGAACTTGTAATATTGCTACTTGGGGGCTGGCGCTGTGGAGCAGTAGGTGAATCCTTTGCCTGTGGCGCTGGCATCCCACATGGGCACCAGTTCTAGTCCCGGCTGCTCCTCTTCCAATCCAGCTCTCTGTTGTGGCCTGGAAAAGCAATAGAAGATGGCCCAAGTGCTTGGACCCTTGTACCCACATGGGAGAACTGGAAGAAACTCCTGGCTCCTGGCTTCGGATTAGCACAGCGCCGGCCATTGAGGCCATTTGTGGAGCGAACCAGTGGAAGGAAGACCTTTCTCTCTGTCTCTCTCTCCCTGTCTGTAACTCTACCTGTCAAATAAATATAATAAATCTTTAAAAAATATTGCTACTTAACTTGGCAAAAAGGAGTGGTAGCAGATGGAATTAAGTTGCTAATCAACTGAATGTGTCCTATGTTATCCAGGTGAACACCTGTCACCATAGGGGTTTTTTAAAGTTGGAAGAGAAAGGCAGATGAATGAACCTCAAAATGATGCCATATGAAAAACACTCAACTCTCCATTGCTGGTTTTGAAGATGGAAGGATGTCACAAACTAAGGGGTACAAACAAACTCTGCAAGTTAGAAAAACAAGAAAATTAAAATATTTCCCTAGAGTGGCTTGTCTCTTCAATGATTCATGAGTTGGTCCTCAGTGTGGCAATGTCAAGAGGTGGTGGAACCTTTAAGAGGTGGGGCCTTGTGGGATGTCATAAGGTCATTGGTGGAGCTGCCCTCAGAAGATATTAAAGTCATTCTCATGGGACCTCTGTTGTGCTTCCAGAGCAAGTTGTTATAACAGCGGGCTTGATGGGGTTGTGGCCCTGTGGGTTAAGCTGCCCTCTGCGATGCCCACATCCTGGCTGCTCCACTTCCGATACACCTCCCTGCTAATGCACATGGGAAAGCAGCAGAAGATGGCTCAAGTCCTCTGGTCCCTGTACCCACATGTGAGATTTGAAGTTCCAGGCTCCTGGTTACAACCCGGCCCACCCCTTGTAGTCATTTGGGGAGTGAAACAGCAGATGGAAGATCTTTCTCTCTCTCTCTCTGTCTCTCCCTCTCCCCCTGTAACTCTGCCTTTCAAATAAATACTTTTTTTTTTGTTTTTAAAACAAGCTTGACCCCTCCCCACCCTCTGGCTTCTTGTCTTGCCTTGTGCTCTTTCCTTGTCTGTGTGCCCATCAGAATGCCACCTGCCCTGGAAGGGACCAGGTGCCTCCCCTCCCCCTCTCCCTCTCCCTCTCCAGAGCCATGTTGTTCACACTTTCAGCCACCAGAACTTTGAACTAAATCACTCTCTTTACAAGTTACCCAACCTCAGATATTTTGCTAAAGCAACAGAAAATGAACTAAGATGTTTTCCTAGGGCCTCTAGAAAGGAATGAAGCCTGGCCAATTCCTTGATTTTTTTTTTTTTTTTTTTGCTCATTGACGCCCATTTTGACTTCTAGAACTGTAAGTTAATAAGTTTGTGCACACTACCAAGTTTGTGGTAATTTGTTACAGCAGTAACAGGAAACTAATATAGTGGTTAATCACATTGGCCTGACCACTTTTTACCAATTATCTTTTTGGCCTTCCTTCCTGAAGAAGGGAAATTGGCAAATTTGTTTCTCCTCCACCCACCAATGACTTATTTCAAGGACACGTTGGCCAACCAAATTCCCCTAGCGTCAGTGGGAGTAGGAATCATTTCATTCGCACCAAAGGGTAGGGGAGTGCCAGTTCAAAGCCATGAGCAAAGAAGGCACCACTTACTTGAGTCAATTGCAGAGAAGACGTTTGAAATTAGAAGGCTCTCAGAGGGATTCTTGATTGGGTTCAATGTACACCTGAGGGAATTTGTCAATATCGCAACTGTGTATCAACAGTGCTGCTTATGAAGAGTTCTCTGGTTATCAGATCCTGAACGCGGTATGTGATCAGCATGGGAACACATCTTGCTGGAGCTGTGAAAGCTGCTTTAATATGCAGTTGTGGTACAGTGTGCAAAGTTCTGGGCTTGGTGCCACAGTTTTAAAAATCTAACTGGTTGTGAAGTAGGCAGGCATACAGGTTAAAATTGATCAGATTTGTGAACTGGAAGACCACGCCCCTGTGTGACCTCATGCTCCTACCTGATGCCTTTGCCACACCGCTGTGTGGCCTCATTCCCCTACCTGGCCACACCGGGGTGCCCACCAGCCAATCAGGTTAATTAACCACTCCCCTTTGGAGTGGGTTAAAAGCCTAGGGCATAGTGTGCTCCAGGCTCTGCCCTGCTCTTCTTCCCTGGCCTCTTGCCAGGACAGGGCTTGCTGTAGCCCTGCGCCTCCAGGGCGCATGGCCTTCGGGCCATGTGCTCTAGGCTTCCTGGCCTAGATGCTCATCCACGTGGCTGGTTCCTGGTGCTCGGTATGAACCCCTATTCACTTCTCTCCCCTAAATAAAGCTCTCACTCTCTTATGCATCTTCCTTACTAAATAAAAGCTTAAAATGTACCATGCTGCCTCGTTTATCTGTGCCGGTATTTAGAATTCTTCTCTAAATATTAGGCAAGAACCCTCTCGGGCTTATTAATATTGGGGATTTAGTAATAAGCCCGTGGTGAAATCGTAAGGCACCCCAAATTCCAGTAGCACATGTGGCACCCCAGATAGCATTTCTATGGAACTTTAAGGGGCCACATTTCAGTGTAAATGTTAGGGGGTCTTTTCCGATTTCAGTTGAGCCTCTGCTAGTAAGGTGCATCATTCCGTATTTTACCTCATGTAAATTCTCCCAGTGCCCCTCCACTACATTAACAGTTTTCTGCTTGAGGAAACAGGTGCACAGAAACTAAAGAACTGGCTCAGTCCCCATTGCTATGGGACAGGGTGCTAGAACAGAAGCTCTACCCTGTCCTTCTCCAGACCTCTCCTTTCATGACACCCTAATGCTCCCCAGTGGCTATCAGCACCTACTTCCTTTTAAAAAAAATGATTTATTTATTAAAAGGCAGAGAGTTACAGAGAGGCAGAGGCAAAAAGAAGAGGTCTTTCATCTGCTAGTTCACTCCCAGATGGCTGCAATGGCCAGAGCTGTGCTGATCCAAAACCAGGAGCCAGGAGCTTCCTCCAGGTCTCCCACACAGGTTCAGGGGCCCAAGCACTTGGGTCATCTTTTACTGCTTTCCCAGGCCATAGCAGAGAGCTGGATCAGAAGTGGAGCAGCTAGGACTTGAACTGGCACCCATATGGGATGCTGGCACTGCAGGCAGGGGCTTTACCCACTATGCCACAGCACTGGCCCCAGAACCCATTTCTTATTGTTGTGGAAATTAAATGAGAACTGATACAAGAAATAGATCTCAAAAACAGTTATTTTTGTGTAGACTGAACAAGAGAATGGATAGCAATCAATTGCTCTTAGAAAACTGCCAAGAAAACATTTGTATGGATGCTTTAGTTACTGACTGAAGAGCAGAGACCAAGTCTAACCCAAATCCTAGTTCTTTTTGTCCTCCCTTAAAATATCCAAGGGAAAAAAATGCTGCCACTACAACTGTATGTTCCTAAATACGAAGATTAATATTTGGGTCTACATCAATGATTCTCAATGTGGAGGGGGTTTGCCCCCAGGGGAACCTTGCCAATGTTTGGAGAAAGTTTTGGTCATGACAAATTGCAGGCAGAGGAGGGGACTTACAGCTAGTGGGTAGAGGCCAGGGTTGCTATTCAAATTCTTATAGGCTATGTGACAACAACCTTCTACAACAAAGTTATCTGGCAATAAAATATCAGTCGTGCTGACACTGAAAAACTAAATGTATTGGTCCATTTTTCATTACTGCATGGAGACATCTAAGTCAGGCTAGCTTTAAGAAGAGAAGAGGTTTATTTAGCTCACAGTGCTGGAGATTCCAGGGCACGATGCTGGCATCAGCTCAGCTTTGATGAGAACCTCATGGCACATGGCAGAACTGTGTGCGAGAGGGAGAGATTGCATTGCAAAACAAGAGGCTGGAGAGGGGCTTGTGGATCAGCAGTGCTGTGATGACAACTTGTTCTTGCAATGCCCGGTAACCCCTTCCCAGCAGCTTCCCCGGTGACCTAAGGACTTCCCACAGACTCTGCCTTTCAGAGCTTTCACACCACCTCCCCAGATCACCATCCTGGTCCAGGGCCAAGTTTCCAACATATGAACCTTTGGGGGATAGCCAAACCATAACTCACATGCTATGTGTTTGAGAAGAAGAGGTTTTATTTGCATTCCTCATGTTGCCTGTTGTCCATAACTTATAATCAGCAGAAAATCCATGCTGCTGTTTGCATATAAATGAAGAAATAGAGTAAACAAGATTCATATGGTAACTCCTTTTTAAAGTAGTGTAAAAATGCTCCCAAGTTTGCCTCTGACAGAGACTTCTGGAAAGACGAGAGGAATTGGGGAACAGTTTTGATCATTTATGTAACTAGGTTAAAGGAGAGCGATTCAGCTCAAAGAAGATAAATGCAGGATATTAAGTCTGAGAGCAAAGGAACATTGCACAAGGAATGTTTGTTCCAGGGGAGGAAATCAGACTTTTCTTCTACTTTTCCACTCTTCTTGCCTGTGGTCAAGTATTGCAGTGAAACCTCAGGATGTAAGGGGAACACTCCATTTCCCCCATAACACGCGCCATTAACCAAAGAGCCAAAAGAGGGCTTTCTGTACACAGCAGCAGCAGCAACCGGGGGAATCACGTCAGACAAAGCTGAGGGTGATGAGAAAGACATTACCTGAGAGAAGAGGGGCCTCCTTTCCAGCTGACCCCGGCCTCCAGGCTCCAAGCCAATCGGCATTCACAGATATGCTAATGCTGCCCGTAGACACCTGTGAGTCACATAGTGGAAGAGTTCTGCATGGATAAAGATGACATTTCTGGCTTTGTTTAAATTATCTGAGTAATCACTTACATTAGTCTTCTGATAAGCCCTCAGATCTTCTCCATAGACAACTACCTTCAGTGAGTAGGGATTCTCAGAATTATGCAAAAGTCTTTCTAGCTACCCTACCACTTCATTTGTACTGTATTGGATAGCCTTGAACTTCTATTCCTCAAGAGCTACCAACACTATGGTTAGTTGCTATTCATCTGCATATAAGGCATAGGGGCAGAGGTTCCAAGTGAATTTCATTTTTTAAAAAAGCTTTTATTTAATAAATATAAATTTCATAGGTACAGCTTTTGGAATATAGCATTTCTTCCCCCCATTACCACCCTCCCACCCCTACTCCTATCCCACTCCTACTCCCTCTCCCATCCCATTCTTCATTAAGATTCATTTTTAATTATCTTTATATACAGAAGACCAACTCTATACTAAGTAAAGATTTCAACAGTTTGCACCCACACAAACACACAAAGTATAAAGTACTGTTTGAAGACAAATTTTATCATTAATTCTCATGGTACAACTCATTAAGGACAGAGGTTCTACATGGGGAGTAAGTGCATAGTGACTCCCATTGTTGATTTAACAATTGACACTCTTATTTATGATGTCAGTGATCACCTGAAGCTCTTGTCATGAGTTTTCAAGGCTATAGAAGCCTTTTGAGTCCACAAACTCCATCAGCATTTAGACAGGGCCATATGCAAAGTGGAAGTTCT